GAAACAAAAAATATACTGTACAACTAATAAAAAAAATTAATTAGCACCTTGTTGATTTTTTCACAATGAAATAGCTAGGTTGTCCTACATAATGTATAGGATATGCAATCTTGTTTGGCATAATTTGTCCCTTTTCTTTATATATTATGCATCCGAGTTAATTTGTTTCAGAAAACAAAAATTTTCTAACAACTATTTTAGTAATTGCACTATAATATTAAAGCCTCATCTTTTTGATCTATGGAAAATGGAGTTCAAAACATAGTTCCATCCACTTTCCACTGACGCAAATAATTTTTGAGAGTAAAATCCATACTGGTTTCCAGCCCAAAAAGTCCGGAACAAAGGATTCATTTTTTTTTTCTACTACCTAATCTACCTATTATAATCCTCCCTACAAATCTATCCTAAATATTCTACTCTGCGCCGGTGAGAATCGAACTCGCGACCACTTACGAGAGAGCCCTACCACCAAATTACTGGGCTACATTCGATTCTCAAGAATTCATTCTTTCGAAACACACATTTCATCATCCAAATAATTTCTCTTTCAGTTCTAAAAACATTGTCTGAATGAAAGGAATATGGTGTATGTATCCCTTTAATTTTGTAGAAAGGGTTCATTGAGTATTTTTAGGGTTTTTTTTTTCTTTCTTAAGAAAGTAAAATAGCACATCATATAACTTCAAGAATTTCTATGTGAAATATTAATACATAAGTACTCAAATGTAAAGCCAATTATTGAAATGTATGCATTCCTCTTCATTTCGTAAATTCATGGTTGTGTACGTTAACAAATGATCATCCATTTATTGACCTCTATTGGGAAAAAAATTATTTAAAACATATCTCTTTCGGTAGCATGAACTACCGAGAAATTACCGTGAATGCTCCTAATTAATCTCAATCAAAAATCAAAACAAACTTGTACATGTAATTAAAAATTGTTATGAGTCTATAATTATGTGGTGCTATCATATGATAACAATGTAAACGGGATGAAAGCGAGGGAAGAAAATTGGAATGATACCAAGAGTGACAACTCATGGACTTAATATTAATTATATTATATAGAGTACTTGAAGTTATATTTATGTCAAGGCAATTATCTCTGCCGTGTTTGATCAGTTGTTCTAATTTAATTGTACTTAAGTCGTGGTCTGTTGTCTTTAACATTACTTAATTTTGTTTGTTAATTTTTTTTTTCTTTGAGCATCGAATGCTAATGGTTTATATTCACTTTTTTTTCTATTTTACTTTTTTGTTTGCCTTCTCAACGTTGTATTACATCGCTAGTATGTTGTGGCCTCATACAAAGTGGAGCAGAGATCTCATAATAACCTACGAACCGTAACCTATTTTATTTAATACAGTAGAATGAGAAGATGCAGTATTATTTTGTGAGAAAAAAATTTTGTAATTCTTTATTCTTTAGGGTAAATAAAATAATTTTGCTGTGTATATCCATGTGTCACTATATACTTTTTAATGTCCATTTGTCACTATCACTTCCATGATTCCTTATAGTTTTTCCGTGATCAAATGCATTTATTATCTTTGCTCAGAAGCACTTAAATAAACATTCCACCGTTGTTATAATGTAACATCAAGGCTAGAAATTCATTAGTACAATCCATTACTATGTATATTCGGATGTTTCGATCACAAATTTGTGATGTGAATAATGGCTTGTGTTTGCACATTCATTCGTCTCATTTCCTCGTTTTTTAACTTCTTCTTTTGGATAATAATTTTTGGGACAGATGAAATACTTCAGATCAGTGAATTAAGTAATTATGAGATGGAAAGTATGTAGTTTCCGAGTTCCGACCCAAGAACTTCTGAAAGTATCAACCCGAAAGTGCGAAGTAATGTAAGGGCCATAGGTATTTAATAAAATGCATGATTCCCATCACCAAACGACTGCAATGAAATAGACCGAAAATACTATTAAACTGCCGCAAGGGTTTGACTTTTGGATGATGGATCCCGCGTTACATCATAAAAGATAACTGATTTTTTTTTTATGTATAGTTTGAACATTCAAATCAAAAGTTCCCAATCAATTCCAAAATCAAAAGAGTGTAATAAAACTGGTCAAAAAAACACCAGCATTGTATATCATGGGATGGGACATATAAACCTAAAATTCGTCAAATTTGAACTCTAACTTAACACTATTTTTGCACGTAATAAGAACTTGATTAATTTGGATCAAAATTTCACCAAATCTTAAAATTTTAATCTTCTTAACGCCTGTAATCATGTTTCTTTAAGATATTTCTTTCTTTGCCTTACATCGTATGATGGAACATACCAAGTTGAACTTATTAGTTAGAACTATGTTAGTGGAGAGAGGAGACACTTGATCATGATCACCAATAAGAAAAATCTTTTGGCGACAGTTTAATAGGATGCTAGCGTTAAAAAAAATAATAAATAAAACAACAAAAAAAATTCAGAAGAAAGCCTATAGTGAATTCCAAGAACTACTGTGGAGAAGTTTTCCAATTGGTGCATTTCAACACAATAGATTATTAGATTGATACTTTAACTTTCTTGATTAGTTAAATGATTAAGTTTAATCGAAGTCATGGAACAAAATAATTAAAAGTCGATTGTCATGCTGTTTATCGATATCGAGTCCAATATAGATTTCTTTTTGTAATTTGCATGTGTTAGAATTGGAACTGCGAGGGACTGTACTTTTTTTGGAGGATTGAAAGTAGCTAATGATTATAAAACTCCCCAACTTTGGAATTACTCAATCATTCTTGTAATGTAGCCGTCCTTTCAGGACCTTACCCACATAATGTGCCAAATGCGTAATAATAATATTTTTACTCGTCTACGTCCCTGATTATTCATACTCTTTCCGTCCAAAAAAAAAAAAAAATAGTCCACTTTAACTTTTAAATTTTATACTATTTTTAGTACAAATTTAAAAATTCAATGTGAATTATTTTTTTGGGACAGAAGGTAGTACTATTTTTATATTTTTCTAACCTCACGTTTGATAATTAGTTGTCACAGACACACAGTGTATGGAAATTAGAATCAACTGTATCATCTTCAAATTATGGTCATCTTTGTCCTGTTTTCATCGATTGCGCATGTGAATTTTCTTTTCTGATAAGAATTGATTTTGAAAAGTTCACTTTGAATGCTTGACTCAATAGATCAAATAATAGTTAGCACATATTCTCCATAGAATTAAGTGGTTACAGACTAGTAATCAAAGTATTTTAACAATGTTGTGAGGCACGAATGAGGATATTGGTGAACTTGTAAGAGAGTGTAAGTGATTTGAGACTTTGCTTTGTGTAGTTGAAGCATATGTTTTTTTGGAAGCCAATTATATAGTCAATTGTCTGTCCAACGTATAACTATGTAATGATGAGAGCTTATCAAGAATCCAAAAATATAAGATCTACTTGTAGCATTGTTAGGACTGAGCCATTACTATAATTTAATGTAACCGGTATTTATCAATCACAAAATATGTTGAATTTAATTTTAGATTTTCTTCTTTAAGTCTCAAAAGTAACATATAAAGAAAATATTTCACTGTCTATAATTTGGTTTTGATTCTTTTTTTTTACTATTTATTTTCTTATACATGTAAAAAAATAAAATTCATCATCCCATTTTTGTGCTTTAGGTGTATTGTATATGAGAAATGGTGTCATTTATCTAGAAATACTTTATTCTAATTTGAAATACGAGGCTATGCATTTTATCAATGAGCATTAGGTTGATTAATATTTTTTTATCAGTCCACTGAAGAGTCAATTATCACACAATACTTTTTCTAAAAAAACAAACTTTTATTCATAATTACTGGAAACGGTCCAGCGCCGATTCAGAAACAAAGCTAGTAATTTCACTCCAAACAGTTTCAATAACAGAAGCCGACTTGGCAAATTTAGCTATAGAATGAGCAATAACATTGTCTGCCCGTTGAAACCAGGAAATATTCCTGATTGGAAGGTCAGGCATAAAAACAAATAATCTCATTTATACATCAAATTACATTCTAAATAAAAATTGAGGTAGTTTACTGATTCGTTTAAAAGCCAAGAGGGTCGATTGATATTTGATAAAACTTGAAGGAGGCATATGAGAACAATCCTTAACTAAACCACTGAAAATTTTTTTAACCTAAGACACCCCAAATTTCCAAATAATCCAAACATCAAAAACAATATCCTCAAGTCATCAAAAGACAAAATGCAGATGTAATTTATTCTGGTTCGGTACAAAATATAAATTGCCATTGCAATGACATAATATCAACGAATCACCCCTAACTTCATCATAAATTATTGCCTCCCATGAGGTCACCCCTTAATACAAAAACCAAGTAGGAGGGGCCCTTAGGGTAGCAAATTTTATTTTATTGTTATAATTTTTTTTTAATTTGTAGATAAAATTAATTTTGGGGAAGAAAAATCTTTAAAAAAAAAGAAAGAAAAGGGGTGTGTCACATAATTGCGTGAAATGCTCGCACGTCTCATATTAAATTGGAGCAATGCCAATCTGTCAACGTGACTGCCCACATATTATAACCCAAAAAACCCCCTCTCAATTTTTCCACTTTACCTTCCCCACTTGAATGATATTTGTACTACCAACTCTCTCTTCCCCCTTTTCCTCCTCCTCCTCCTTCTCCCTCCGGCCAGCCAGCCAGCCAGCCAGCCAGCCAGCCGCCCTAACCCGCCCCATTTCCCCTGTTCTTCATTTTTCCCTTTTGGACCCAAAAATTCATGCCCATTTTCATCCTTTAATCGTTTTTATTGTACATATACAAATTAGCATGTAAAGTTTTAGCCTTTTTGGTGATTTCAGCTGAATAGTGTCTGTATCTCCCTCACTCCCATTACCCCCTTTTTGTTCATAGCACAAACGGCTGCAATTTTCACGCAACCAATAGTTTTTTTTGTAAATTATTCTTCTTTTCCCCCCGCCCCCTTTTTTGGTTGTTGAAAAAATTAAAAGCTATGATTCGGAAGAATGCATTTGTTCATGACCAGCAAGAGGATTCAACAAGCACCCCAGAAAACGGTGGTGATGATTCTGTCTACTCTGGTGATGAAGCCTATGAAGTGAGCGCCCCTTCACCCAAAAAAAGGTTCAATTTTTAAACCCCTCTTTGCAGTTTATATTTTCTGGGTTTTTTTGTTCTATTGGACGGTTTTGGGGGAAAAATTGATCAGGAAGTTTAGAAAAGTTGATTTTATCTTTTTGTTGTCGTTTTGGTGGGGAAATAATAATAGGAGGGGTGCCCAGAAGAAGGCAATATCTGTGCCAATTTCAGAAGGGGATGGATCAAGAAGTAAAACTGAGGTGTACCCGCCACCTGATTCTTGGTCCTGGAGGAAATATGGCCAAAAACCCATCAAAGGTTCGCCTTATCCAAGGTATTGAATTCAATTCGTCCTTGTAATTCTTTGCAAATTCCGTTACTAAATCTGGCAAAATGGGTTTGAACTGCAACCCACTTTTTCTTTTTGGCTTTTAATGTTGAATTTGTTCAATTAGAGCTGGAAACAAACACCAAAAATTAGATTGAATTGTTATGAACACTACGCCAAGGATTCAAACTGAGCAGAATGGTTCCGATTTGAGCAAATTTTGGGCCGTCTTTGTAGTTGCCGCCGGCCAAAATTGATGCTGATATAATAGTCCTCTTGTCCAGTAGTAAAAAAGGATACAAAGGCGGCTTTGGGGTTTTTGGACTAAAATATTATCTACAAATAACCATTGATTAATGTGTAGTAGTTGGAATCTGCCAACGTTTTTGCGTTTCAGGATTCACTCGCAAAGGTAATTATGTGGATAACACGCTCTTGTTAGCCAATTTAAGTTTGGACGTTTGGTGTTAAATCTGTTATATCAAAAGTGAATAGTGAATCTGCAATTGGATTTTGGAGCATTTAGGTTTGGGATATGCCTTTTTTCCCCCAATATTATAGGTGGGAACCCACACCATTGAATTTCCTTTTTTTTTTTTTTGATGCCTCCCTTTCCTTGTCTTATCCATGAATCATTTTTTGGTCACTTTTTGGTGCATTCTATGTAGTTTGTAGTTGTTCTGGTTCATTGTACCACTCCCAACGTTTTAGATTAGAATCTTCTATATGTCCATCCCATAAAAATAAGTTGTAACAACATAGGAGAATGGAAATCTTCATTATGATTCTTATAAGATTTCATTGAACAAAATCTTCTTGCATCTAAAACCCATTGATTGTATTGGAAAAACAATGTGAAAAATCTCCCAAAAATCCAATCTTTAATGAATGGGGTAGGTAAAAGGGTTCGCTCCCAATGCATTACTGGCTTAAAAAGAAACCAAAAAGAACACAAGTGAAGTGCTTTTATGTTTGCATAATGCAAAAAAAAGGCACTCACTTTTGCCTGCATTATCTGTGTTTTTTTTTGGTTTGTGCCACTTCCTATGATACAAAGTAATGTTTTTTTAATGAGTCTTGTAGACAACATTGAATTGCTCCCTTCTTGTTTGCAGAAAAAAAAGAAAATAAAAAGCTAAAAAGAATTTTTTGAGTTTCACTATTTGTGTCCGAAAATTAATTGATCGAATTATTTTATGCATGTGTTTCATGCCAGGGGATATTATCGGTGTAGTAGTTCAAAAGGATGCCCCGCAAGAAAACAAGTTGAGAGGAGTTGTTTGGATCCCACCAAGCTTCTAATCACCTACACGTGTGAACACAATCACCCTCTCCCCAACACCACCACTAAACACCATCATCATTCCCCGGCCCCCGCCACCGCCGCCGCAGTCTCGAAGGCCGCCGCCGCAGCAGCTACAGCCAGCGACAACACCAACGCCACCGCATCTACTTCTAATTGCACCTCATCATCAACCGGGACCGACAGTAATCCCGTCAAATTCGAGGAGGACGGATTCGGGTCCTTCGCCAACCAGCCCGATTTGGATTCAGACAACAGCAGCGGGTTCTCGGAGCTCGCCGGCGAGATGGGCTGGTTCTCCGACGTGGGGTCCACTTTCGTGGGCAGCTCCACTCTGGTGGGGCCATCGTGGGTGGATGCCGACGTGGCGGTGATGTTACCTATCGGAGAAGAAGATCAGTCTTTGTTCGGTGATCTTGGGGAGTTGCCGGAATATTCGGTGGTTTTCCGGCGGCGAGGGCTGGAGAGTACTTCTACGGCTACCTGCTGCGCAGGTTCAGGATGAAAATGCGTGTACAGTTATTTTTTTTTAACTTTCCGGGTGATCCGACGGTTTACATTACAGAACGTTATATCGGGTATACGAATAAAGAGGAAATGGTCCATGGGCTTTGGGTTAGAATGTGAATTTCTACGTTTCAAGGCCCACGAAGCTAACACGCCATCCATTTCAGGTCCAAAACTATAAAAAGATCCAGGAAAAAAAGTGTTTCTTTCTCCCTTTTTTTCACTTGTTGGAAATTAAGCTTGGAGTAGTGTTTTAGTGGTCCTTTTGTGTTTTTTTGGCTCCTTCTTATATGAGGTTTAGGGATTGAAAGGGGTGTGAGGAGGAAGGAGGATGAGGTATATACCTTTCTTTTTTTTACTTTCCTGGTAAATTGGACAAGTTTTACCATATAATGAATTAGTACATGGTCTTCGTGCATAAATAAACTGATGAAATATGATAGAACCAGTGAAAAGTGTACAGTGATTTTGATTGGTTTTTTGCTAAAGCTACAATTCGGAAGTGCTGGAAAATCCATTGTGTACAAGTTTCTCATGTTCATTGGTCAAATCTCGGGATCACAAGTTTCCACCCTTCGGCCTTCCCTGTGTTGACAATTGCTGTAGGAAAGCAAAGAAAAGAAGCATCTTTCTTATTCACAAGTGAACTAGTATTTTTCTTCCTTCAATTGAATTCACATTTCTCTATCAAAGGTTATTAAGAAATTTAACAAATGTAAACGTTATGGGTGACAATTTTGGGTCAACATATCAATACGGTTCTTCTTAATCCGAGGTTAACTGTTAACATGTTACGGTTCAATTTTTGGCGATCTATATAGATGATATATGTAACAAATAGGACATTCAAAAAAAAAATTAAAACTCATTGTGAATTATTTATTAGAGACTAAGGAAATGTTATTGTCGTTCAAACCGACCAATTACAATTACTCAAATTAAATCTTTTTTTCGAATTACAAATTTCACAAAAGGAATGGCTGAACAAAAACGAGCCAAGAGTTCTAAGATCTTTCACTAGAAAATTGGCATTGGCTTGACGCCTTGACCGAATAGGTGCCAGTCCTGTTGTTCCTTCAAAAGAACACAAAAAAGAAAAGGAAAAAAAAACACCAAAAAAATAGAAAGAAAAAACATGGGGCAAAGATAAAATCTTGAACAGCCAAAAATCCCTCTTGCGGAGAAGAAAAATCTTTCACATGAGATTGGCCACGTACCCCTTTTACAAACCACATCCATTCCTTTTAAATCCACCTAAACTCTCTACTGATTATTATTTAAATCCAAGTTCCAACCCGATTCTCTTAGTTTAGAACATCAGCACCCAGTTACAGTTATCAGGTACATCGGAATTCTCTTTCCATTTTCACTTGTTTTGGATTCTGCTGCCTCTGGTAGTAACCCAACTCTCATCTTACTCTTGCTTGTTTGCATCTTTAAGCACTTGTTTTTTTTTTTCCCCGGAATTGTAAGCCAAAGGAAGAGATTTTGGTGATTTGTTGGTACTAATTTTATGACACTGATAAGTTTGCTTACATTCTAGTGTATAGTCTACGGAGAGTGCACTGCTTTCTATGTTGATTTTCTGCAGATGGGTTGTCGTAGATGAGGATATTGGGTTTTGGATTGCTGTGTTTATAGGAAAGGGTAGTAGGATAACTTGCGATAATTCGTTGGCTGTGGTTTGAACTTTATCTTGTTTGTCTGGCCGGTGGGATGATGTAAAGTTGAGAGTTTTATCATTTTTCACTGTCTTTATTTTTGTATTAGATTGGGCTTCTTTGGGATTTTGCTCAATCTTTCTATTTTGAAGTCTGTTATTGGAGAAAAAGTTTCATTGTGTTGATAGAATGAATGTATCTGGTGGGCTATTGTACTTTCGCGAAGAACTTAGCTCCCGGCTTTCTTGTAAAGTTTTTGGCATTCAATCACATGGTCCGTCAATAGGGTATCATTCTATGTTGTTATCAAGACGAATGTCAGTAGAATATGGTTTTTATTTGTGTGTGTTAGACTTATGGTTCTATTTTATGATAGACCCATTCCCCTTCTTTCACTTCCTGCATTTTGCTTAAGCAACTATTGTCTCAGAATAATGTGAAGAAAATGGTCCCGTAGATTCTGCTGTGAGTTTGCCTGTCGTGGATAGCTTTGATGATCTTTACCAATTGGTTCTAATTTTAGTCTCTAATTATCTTCTTACAGATGGCTGCATCATCAGTATCAGTAGTAGGGAATGGTTTATCCATCCCTTCTGGCTTTAACAAGGAATTCTATGGAAGGAAAGTTTTCATATCTTCCAGCCTACCGTCGTTGGCAAGAGTACCCAAAGTAGTATTAGTAAGAGCATCTCAAGAAAGTTTGAATGAAGGGAGGAGGGGATTTCTAAAAGTGTTATTGGGAAATGCTGGAATTGGTGTGCCAGCATTGCTTTCTAGTGGAAAAGCATATGCTGACGATCAAGGGGTTTCTAACTCAAGGATGTCATATTCTAGGTTTCTGGAGTACTTGGATAAGGATAGGGTAAAACGAGTAGATCTATATGAAAATGGTACCATTGCTATTGTTGAAGCTATCTCGCCAGAGTTGGGGAATAGGGTGCAAAGAGTACGTGTTCAACTTCCAGGTCTTCCACAAGAGCTTCTTCAGAAATTCAGAGAAAAGAACATCGATTTTGCTGCCCATAATGCCCAAGAGGACTCTGGTTCTTTGCTATTCAATTTGATTGGGAACCTGGCCTTCCCATTGATCTTGATTGGGGGTCTGTTCCTTCTTTCAAGACGATCTTCAGGAGGGATGGGTGGCCCTGGTGGGCCTGGCTTCCCAATGGCTTTTGGTCAGTCCAAAGCCAAGTTCCAAATGGAACCAAACACTGGTGTAACTTTTGATGATGTTGCTGGAGTGGATGAAGCAAAGCAGGATTTTATGGAGGTTGTGGAGTTTTTGAAGAAGCCCGAAAGATTTACTGCCGTGGGAGCCCGTATTCCCAAGGGGGTCCTTCTTGTTGGTCCTCCTGGTACTGGAAAGACATTGCTGGCTAAGGCCATTGCGGGTGAAGCAGGTGTCCCATTTTTCTCAATTTCAGGTTCAGAGTTTGTTGAGATGTTTGTTGGTGTTGGTGCCTCTCGTGTGCGTGATCTTTTCAAGAAAGCAAAGGAGAATGCTCCATGCATTGTTTTTGTTGATGAAATTGATGCTGTTGGGCGACAGAGAGGAACTGGAATTGGGGGAGGAAACGATGAAAGGGAGCAGACACTTAACCAACTTTTGACCGAGATGGATGGGTTTGAAGGTAACACAGGCATCATTGTAATTGCGGCTACTAACCGCGCTGATATTCTTGATTCTGCCTTGTTGAGGCCAGGGCGTTTTGATAGACAGGTAAACATGTCCTCCCTGGATCCTACTCCTTTTAGCTGATTTCTTGTATGAAATACTAAGTCTGCGTGTGTTCAGGTGACTGTTGATGTTCCTGATGTCCGGGGAAGAACAGAGATTTTGAAGGTTCACGGCGGCAACAAGAAATTTGATTCTGATGTGTCCCTTGAAGTTATAGCCATGCGAACTCCTGGATTTAGTGGAGCAGATCTTGCAAATTTGTTGAACGAGGCAGCTATACTTGCTGGCCGACGTGGGAAGACAGCAATTTCATCCAAAGAGATTGATGATTCAATTGATAGGATTGTGGCAGGTATGGAAGGGACAGTAATGACTGATGGCAAGAGCAAAAGCTTGGTTGCATACCATGAAGTTGGGCATGCCATCTGTGGGTGAGTTTGAGATCAAATACCTCTTTGAGTTTAATTAGCTGAAGATTCAGCGCCACTCAAATTTGCCATGCAAGTTTGAAGTTGATAAGTGTGCTTTTTATCTTCTTGCTAAGTGCTAACCTCTTTGGTCTGCAAATAAAATATTTGAATGTATTCCCCTAGTATTTCCCTTGCAATCCACTTCACAGTCTCTACATTTATGTTAATATATTTGTGGTTTTTTCAGCACTCTCACACCGGGGCATGATGCCGTTCAGAAGGTTACCTTAGTTCCGCGTGGACAAGCTCGGGGTCTGACCTGGTTTATCCCTGCAGATGACCCCACCTTGATCTCCAAGCAGCAACTATTTGCAAGAATTGTTGGTGGGCTTGGTGGAAGAGCTGCCGAGGAGGTGATCTTTGGCGAGCCTGAGGTGACAACAGGTGCAGCCGGTGATTTGCAGCAGATAACTGGCTTGGCAAAACAGGTATCTTCTTGTTCTTCTGTATTGACATTTCCTATTATTTCATGGATCAAAACAACGAGCTACCAGAACTGGTTTTTGCCACTTTGTCCACCATATGGCAAACCATTTTACCAGTTGCTTAACCTGAGAACAGTGTGGAGTTATGAGGTTTATGGTTCTCCACCTTTTCTTCAAACATTAGACAGGTGTTTTAGAGAATTCATTTAGCTGCATTTCCTATGCTTACTCTCCTAGGTCCTAGTCTCTTTGATGTTTCTTTGCCGAAAATAATCGGTGTTTTGTGTTTAGATGGTGGTGACCTTCGGCATGTCAGACATTGGTCCATGGTCATTGATGGACTCATCAGCACAAAGTGGTGACGTGATCATGCGAATGATGGCGAGGAATTCAATGTCCGAAAAGCTTGCTGAAGACATTGATTCCGCTGTGAAGAGAATTTCTGATAGTGCATATGAGATTGCTTTGAGCCACATCCGGAACAACCGTGAGGCAATCGACAAGATTGTTGAGGTCCTCCTTGAGAAAGAGACATTGACTGGAGATGAATTCCGGGCAATTCTTTCTGAATTCGTAGAAATTCCAGTGGAAAACAGAGTTCCTCCAGCTGTGAAGGCACCTGTAGCTGTCTAATCTCCCTAGTATACATACATAGTGGTTAAACATTGATTATACTTCTTCATTCTTTCCGAGTATACAATATCACAACCTTGGGTGCATGCTGTAATTTATAACTGATTTCGTGTGGGAATCTGCCACTTGATTCAACTTTGTAGTGTATGTAAACTATACTGTAATGTACCAGGCGTCTTATGTAATGTGTATACAACATATTGACAAACTATTTTGAACATACAGCTTCTTGTGTAAACAGGGGTAAAGGATACTGTTTTAGAGTCTCACTAAGATTGTGTAGCAAATGAATATGATTGAGCCACGCGAAAAATAAAGCTAGCTACTTAGTACTCCCTCCATTCCAAAATAAGTGTCGTCCTACACTTTGCACATAGTTTAAGAAATTGTTAAATAGGATAATAAAATTACTTGAATAACTTTAACCAATCCCACTTAAAAAAGGTTCGCCAATAGTATTAATTCTTTTGGGGATAATTTTGGAAATTTTGGACAAAAAATGCATTGAGATGTGAAAACGACACTTATTTTGAAATTTTTCTATTTTGTTAAAACGATACTTATTTTGGAACGGAGGAAGTACTTATTATGTCTTATCAACTCTAGACTACGAGAGTGCACCATTTCACAAAAATGGTAAAATCATTCGTGGTGTCGAATCCAATTGATAAGATTTTCTGGATTCGTACCCGTCAGCGCCAAATAGTTAGCGGTAAAATTGACCTCTTTATAGATATAATCGATTATTACATCCTAATCTCTATCCATAAAGTTTCGAACTGCTAAAATAAGGAATAAGTTAGTTTACACCAATCGATTTACGATAATTTTAGTTTTGTTGATTATAAGCAATTAACATCTCAAATGTCACACTTCAAATTTCTAACTTGGCTATATTAGCCAATTTACATAAAGCACTAAAACCATTCAACCAATCCAAATTCCAAACCCAAATGAATGGAAGATCACTTCTAACCTCACTTCTGAACTGTGCCACTCCATTCACTACTCGGCTTTCCCTCCACAATTTAACCACCCATTATTTCTCCACAAATTCATTGCCATTGCCACCACCACCAGAATTCGTAAAGCTTTGTTCTCAAGGTCTTATCAAGGAGGCTTTCACCAGCTTCACTTCCGTCTTATGGTCGGACACGAATCTCTTCTCTCATCTCCTCAAAGCATGCGTCGAAAAGCAGTCCGTTTGTCTCTCCAAACAGCTCCATTCTGTCATCATCACTTCCGGCTGTTTCAAGCACAGGTTTGTGGCCAACCACCTCCTCAATGCCTACGCCAAGTTGGGTCAATTAGAAACCGCAGTCTTGGTGTTCGACATATTGCCAAAGAGAAATACCATGTCCTACAACATTTTGATTGGCGGGTTTATCCAAAAGGGTGATTTGGATGCTGCGTTTAAGCTGTTTGATGAGATGGGCGAGAGAAATTTAGCAACTTGGAATGCGATGATTGTTGGGTTGGTTCAGTATGAGTTGAACGAAGATGGGTTGAGTTTGTTTTCCCAAATGCACGAGCTGGGATTTTCACCTGATGTTTTCACTCTTGGTAGTGTGTTCAAGGGTTGTGCTGGTTTAAAGGACTTGAATAAGGGTAAGCAAGTCCATGGCTTTGTGGTAAAATTAGGGCTTGAGGAGCATTTGATTGTTGGAAATGCATTGGCTCATATGTATATGAGATCTGGAAACTTTAGAGAAGGGGAGAAAGTTATTAGACTGATGCCTAGTTTTAGTGTGGCTGCTTGTAACACGCTAATTTCAGGGATGGCACAAAATGGGTATTCTGAGGGTGCTATGGTTTACTACAACATTATGAAAAAGGCAGCATTCAGGCCAGATAAGATCACATTTGTGAGTGTGATCAGTTCATGTTCTGATCTGGCTTCGCTTGCACAGGGTCAGCAAGTTCATGCCGATGTGATAAAAGTTGGCGCTTTAGCAGATGTTCCTGTTATTAGCTCGTTGGTTAGCATGTATTCTCGAAGTGGTTGCTTGGACGACGCTGTGAAGGTTTTCTACGATAGAAGGGAAATGGATGTAGTTTTATGGAGCTCTATGATTGCTGCTTATGGCTTCCATGGGAGAGGGAAGGAAGCTATTAATTTGTTTGATAAGATGGAAATGGAGGGATTGGATGCAAATGAAGTAACTTTCTTGAGCTTACTTTATGCTTGCAGCCACTGTGGGTTGAAGGACAAGGCTCTTGAATTATTCAGTTTGATGAAGGAGAAGTACAGATTGAAGCCCGGATTAGAACATTACACCTGTATAGTAGATCTACTTGCTAGATCAGGACGTTTAGATGAAGCTGAGGGCTACATTAGATCAATGCCCTTTAAGCCTGACCTAGTTATATGGAACACTTTAATGTCTGGTTGTAAACTTCATAAAAATTCTGATATGGCCAAAAGGATAGCCGAAGAAGTTTTCAGAATTGATCCTAGGAATCCAGCATCTCATGTTCTCCTTGCAAACATCCAAGCCTCTGCCAAGAGCTGGCAAGATGTTTCAGAGATGCGCAAAGCAATGAGAGACAAAAATGTGAAGAAGGAACCTGGCATAAGCTGGCTGGAGCTAAAGAACCGCATTCATCAGTTTGTTAAGAGTGACAAACTTCATCCGCAGTCCAAGGAGATTGACAATTACTTGCAAGAACTGATTGAAGAAATAAAATTGGAGGGGTATGTGCCTGATATAGGGTCTGTGCTGCATGACATGAGTGCAGAAGAAAAGGAGTATAACTTGGTACGGCACAGTGAGAAGATTGCAATTGCTTTTGCATTGCTGAACACTCCTGAAGGTTATCCTATCAGAGTGATGAAGAATTTGCGAGTTTGCAATGATTGTCATGTTGCTATTAAGTACATTTCCAAAGTCAAAAAGCGAGAAATTATTGTACGAGATGCGAGTAGGTTTCATCATTTCAAAGACGGTTCCTGCTCTTGTGGAGATTATTGGTGAAAGAGGCACTATTGATTGCCTATTATTTGCATTTATGTTCATCATATACTGATTTTGTTTTGTGATAGTAAAGCTTTTGCATTGAACAGCTAAAAGTTGCTCTCTCCATCCATAAAAGATCCCAACCCCTTCGCTCTTCCTCAGCCTTAGAAAATGTGTTAAAATTTTTTTGACTTAGTTGCATGGTCATAATATACATACTTTTGGCACTACCCCTTTGAAGATGATAGAAGTTACTGACAAGTGACAACTAGTTCAACGGTTCAATTTCTTTCTTTTTTTTTCTTTTTTTTTTCTGTTTTTGAAAACCTAGTTCCACGTTTGATCGTACGCTGATGGCAATGCAAGTTAGACACTTCACACTTATCTCAAGGATCGCAGGCTGATGGCAATGCAAGTTAGACACTTATCTCAAGGATGCCACGTACGTATGTAGTTGTCTTTTGGTATGGAGACAAAAAGAACTTGAAGTTGCAGGTTTATAAATTCTGGGAACATTGTAACTTCGAATCTTCAGGGCTTCCTTGAAGAAGAGAATGTACTGTGTAACCTGAAAGGTTCCTCAAAGTACCAAAACAAGAATTCCAGGGAAGGTAAGGTGTGGGAGGATTCAGAAGTTTGTTCAAGGAAATCTTAAATAGTTAAGCGATTGGGGAGAAGAAGATCAATTATCTTGGAAATCATAGAGATAAAACATCAACTCCCGCTTCACATGCACTGGAAAAAACTTGTACGAAAAATAAGCAATGTTCTCTTTTCTCTGGCGGCCTCAACGCCACTGCTCCATAACTTGTAATTATTTTACTCGTCCGGAGGCTCAATTAGTTTGAATCTTCTACCCACAATTTGTATTATAGAAGGATTCCACTCGCTCTAGAATCACACCAAACAAAGCATATCAACAGAGCAACATCAAGCAAATACAGAGATGCACATCATACATCCATCTTGTTCGAAAGCCAATGGCATCCATGCTTACTGAACACGCCTTTGCATCATCACATCACATTATAAACCAGCATCAGAACCAGAGTCTACAACAGCATAAAAATGTAACAGAGACAACCCAAACAATCCATGATGTGCGCATTTGGTGCTTATTTCTACCAGAGCCGCAGCAATATGCCAATATATTTACAGTTACACACCAGATATCAACGTATATTATGAAAACGAACTCAAGGATGGTGTGGCAATGCTACACCTGAGAATCAATACCTAGCAGACTTATCATCAGATCCCTACTCCTCACATTGGATATTACTGTCAAAGTTACAAATTTTACCATTCAAACAACAGCAGCCCCAATAGCTTCTCTCATCTGAAGCATGGAAAAACAAAAAACTACGAGTTCCCTCTATCCAACATGTTGATACTGTATCACCTGCTTCTCCAATGAGATAGTAACACTCCAAGTACAGGTAATATTTGCAAGTTCTGAGGCATAGTGCCATCCTTTGTTTTTACTACACGAGCATCAGGCTTCAACCCGAATGAAAATCTCAAGCACTTAAGGGATTCCAGATCCATGTTTGATGTTTTGAGTTCAAGAAAATGTCATTCCACATCTCAACAAGTAACAAATTTTTAACCATCTACTGCACCCAGCAATTTACAACCACGATGCTTAAACTGATCAACATTGGTCCAATGAGCTTGGCATATCTCATTCAAGATCCCAAATATGTACAGTGTTTACCGTTGACCTCCCATAGATACTCTCAGGCTCCCATTCACAGTAACAGCAGAACAGTAAAGAACCTTCCCTTGCAAAACTCATCACCAAGCTCCCTCTACCTTCTAAATATTAATCACAAGAGAAGTCTGCACCGAACAAAATTTCACCTTTTCCTAACCAGATCAAGGTCTATGCAGGAGGCACTAAAGAATGAAGAAACTGGGAAAAAAAAAAATTTTGAATGACAATCATAAAGGGGAAACAAAACCACTAAATGTAATTCCCTAGACCTACAACCTAATCTCCTTCTACGCTTGCATGCATCACCAAATGAGGGACCTCAATCAGCTTTGAAACGAGTAGGAACCTGATGATACACTTTAGGACGAACCATCTGAATCATCTTCAGAGCAAACTGGAGAATCGGTGACATCGGAAAGAGAATCAAGCATGTTTATCACCTCCAGTGTGTCATCCAAATAATATTTTGCTTTGCTTGGTTTCTGCCCAACTGTACACGCAAATACTTCAGTCTTGTAAGAAAGAATTTTCCGCGCTATAGCAGAGCCAATATTTTCAAACATGTCTTCATCAGATCTGTCATCACCGATGCAAAGAACAAAATCAGCCTGTGTTCCCTTCTCCGTCAATGATGTTAATATTCTTTCAGCAACAGAGCCTTTGCTGACACCCTGGAACAAACAAAAAGAAAACGATAAAGTTTCACATTATGATCAGGAATATGTGTACTGTGTAAATTGTGCAATATACAAGCTTCTCATCAGATATTAACATCTAACAAGGAGCATACATGATTAGTTTAGCAAATTATTAGGGTAAATTGGTTTCTTTCACACCACCCTACTACTACACATACAATCAAGCTAAAATCTCCACCTACTTTTTTAAGCTATAAATAAAAAAATAAATATCATGGAGTTAAGCTAATATCCACACTACTTAAACAAGTAATCTTTCAAAAATTAGACACAGCCAAGGAGACTAAAGATAATAACACACATATAGATCCCAGCAAACAACAGCCATAATGGGAAGTCATACATGCTATAATCAACAACACATAATTGTGAAGGGGTTAATAGGCCATAATGCATATATTTATCCACAATATTTTATCAATGTCAATAAGGAAAATAACATGAGTAAAATGGAAAAGACAATCAAAAGGACAAAAAGAAGAAAGGTCATGTAACTGTCTTGTTAAGGAATCAAGCCATAAATAAACACATGTTGTAATGCTTAAAAATGAACTGCAAAAGAAAAACAAAGTGAAGTAACTTGCAGACCAATATACAAAACTTGCCTGTGGCTTAACTTCTACAATATGCTGGCCACTCTTCACAGCAACGGGCTCATTAGCTAAAACGCTCTCAAGATGATCCAGCATCTCCTTCGCCTGAGAATACCCGAAGTCTGGATCTGCATCCCCATACTGCCACACCAAAGCACTTTCTTTCGTCTCAATGCAAGAACCATCTGTTGCCTCAGTATAGGATTGCATGACAGGTTCAGCAAGTTGCATCCACCCAAAATCAGAAGCCTGACTACACACCTCCCAATCTTGATCTTGTGACCACCTGCCAATTTGCGGAGTCAGCATGGCAACCTCATAAGCATAATTGCATAATCAAACTAATCATCAACAGGAAAAGACACTCGTACAAAAAGCGAACAAAGGAACAATCTGGAAGAAACAAAAGGGAGAGAGAAGAATGTACAGCGCCAATGGCATATAAATGAACACATCATACAACTCTTGAGGGTTCAAAAGACAGATTCAGTCAGAAGCAGTTTTGTAATAAAAGGAAAATATTATAGTACTAGTGATATAAGCATTTCGAGATATACACACAAAATCCAGTATAGCTCATTCGCTAAAATTTGTAGATTATTAGAGATCCTACTTTGTTAGTATTTTTTAATATGAAATGAGAATTATAATATGCTTAGGCTATATTGATACCGACAAGAAAAATAGGGTATGAAAACTTCAATTTGAAAAACGACAACACAATCAAGAAATTAACACGGCCTGAAGGTACAAACAACATACTATTAAAGACAGCAGTGTCATAATTAAGATATTTCCCCTGTTTGAAAAAAACCACAATAATAGAAAGCTAACCTTATGAAATAGCCATGTTCAGCGGCAAGTCCCAAGCTTTTGCAGGGAGAAAACCACCTGCTTAAGTTGGATCTCCCTCTTCCGCTAACTATGAATACTGTATTATTTTTATCCCCACAGAGTCTGTTCAAGATAGAAATAACTTCAGCACTTGGAGCTTTGTTGATAGAATTTTGAGGCATTACAGTCCCATCATAGTCCAACAATATAGCACGATGGTGGGCACTAGTATATGCAGACACAATATCATTAACTGAAAGCTTCCTAAAATTAGGATCCAGTGCCACAACTCTAAACCCAAATCCCAAACCAATTCCATAGGATCTCTTCCTGTAATGATCAGCACAGGACCTCTCCATATCCTGCAAGAAGCTTCTTGCCCAATAAGCTACATCATGGGTACTTACATAACGATAGTGCTTCTCATGTCTCATTTCTTTATCTTGGTCAGATGTGGATATAGCTTCATGCATTGCCGCACCAGTTGCTTCAACATTCCAGGGGTTGACACGTATTGCTCCACTAAGTGAAGGGGAGCACCCAATAAACTCTGAAAGGACCAGCATGCTTTTCTTCGACCTATTCAACTGAGAGCCTAGTTGTCCACCAGCTATGCCCTGTCTGCATACAATGTATTCGTATGGAGTTAAGTTCATCCCATCCCTTACGGCAGTGACAACAACGCATTCAGCTATCCCATAATAAGCCATTCTTTCAGGGATAGAGACAGGTCTTTGAATTAAAACTACAGGTTCATATCCAGGCTTCCCGAATTGCTTATTGATTTTCTCACTGCTTTCCTTGATCTCAGCTTGAATTTCTTCCAAATCAATACCTTTTCCCCTCACAGGATTAATGATTTGAACCAGCACTGCCCTTCCTTGCCATTTCGGATGTTGCTTCAGCAATTGTTCCATAGCCAGGATTTTCAAATTGATCCCTTTAAAGATATCCATATCATCAACTCCAAGCAAAACAGTTTTTCCCTCAAACTGTTTCTTTAGCTCATCATACTTCATCTCCTTATCTGCAAGTTTCATCGCAGATTCAACATGCCCCATATGTATTCCAACAGGCATTATCTTAATGCCCACAGTTCTCCCATAGTACTCCAGTCCAATGTAACCTCTTTTGGATTGGTACACCAAGCCCATCATGCGACTACAACAAGAGAGGAAATGCCGTGCATAATCAAAAGTGTGAAAACCAATAAGGTCACAGTTAAGTAAGGCCTTAAGAATTTCCTCTCTAACAGGGAGAGTCCTGTAAATTTCTGATGAAGGAAACGGGCTGTGGAGGAAGAACCCCATTTTCAATTTAGTAAAGCGCCTCCTTAAGAAAGTAGGCAACACCATTAAATGGTAGTCATGAATCCAAACAAAATCATCTTCAGGATTCAGCACCTCAATAACCTTTTGCGAATATATCTTGTTCGCAGACACATAAGCTTCCCAATTTGAACGGTCAAACCGACCCCCACTTTCAGCAGAAAAGGGCAGCATATAGTGAAAGAGAGGCCATAGCTGCTTCTTGCAAAAACAATCATAATACCTCTGCACCAAATTAGGAGGAAGAAAAGTTGGCACGCATCTATATTTCTCCAAAAGATGATTGGCCACATCATCTTGTTCTATCGGGTCGACATCAACTGTTAAAGAACCAACATATTGCACTTCCATATCTTCTGGCAGACCATCTTTGATCCTTAAAAGCAATGAATCCTCATTCCAACTAAAATTCCATCCTTTATTGTCAGGCCTACGCTTTGCCTTCAGAGGCAACTGATTAGCCACAATAATCATCCTATCACCAGCTAACGAAGAAGGATTATCCGAAGCAACACTTTGAGCCTGGTCATCATCCAACTCAGTAATACTCCCTGGCACAGTCATAACCCTGGGAAACCTCTTCCGTTCCTTCTCTTTACCCCCAACAGTAGGGAAATTCCCAGACGCTAAATCTAAAAGATTAGTATATGATCTTGACAACATTTTTCCAAAGATTCAGTTTATCTCTCTTCGACTTCAATAAACTGAAACCACCAAACACCAGAATTGACCCCGCTTTTCAAGAATCTGCAAACAAATTACATCTTTTCACATAAAAGAAACAAACAAACACAGACGGAATCTCCACAAGTTCAAAAAAACATCAAGAGAACTAATAATTACAGCAAGAATAGACCAATGGAACAGAACCCATTAACTGTGAGTTCAGAAACAAGTAATCTAACCAAAACCCATATCATAAAACGGTGAAAATCCCACAAGAACCGAGCACCCAATTGACCAAAGCCCTAAACTGATACAACTCCAATTGAAAAGAAACCCAAAAAGATTAACCTGTAAATGGAAAAACCAAAGTTCAGAACTGATGATACCTGTGATTGAATCACGTGAATCTTTTGGGGAATGTTAATCGCAGAAAGCTGTGATCTATGATCTGAATAAGGCGAATTGAACTCCAATTATAGGGTTTTGAATCAAACAAATTAACAGAAGCGAAATCTCTCTATCCTTTGTTTATTTATTGAATGGAAAATTGGAATGAATAATGGAAAGAAAATCGATTATATTTATCCCATTATATATATTTATTTTATTTTATAGTCAATCTTTTCCTTTTTATTATCAAGTGTGCGTGCCAGGTAGAGAAATATTGGACAGAAATATTCAGCGCGTTAAAAATAATTCCCGATAATTATTAGTATTTTATGATTTAAATAATTAATTAAAAAAATATTGTAAATTACAATGCTACGTGGAAACAAGTATTACTCCCTATTCACTAGTGTCACTCCACCGAGAATGCTCTTTTCTTTTTCTTTGCTTTTGTTTTTTCATTAAAACCTACATTTTATTATTCAAAAACTTAGCAATACAGTCAAATATTTTACTCCTTTCGTCCCGAAATTATTGTACAGTTTGAAATTTCATTTTTAGTACAAATTGAATTGAAATTGAAAAGTTAAACTGGACAATAATTTTAAGACATAGAAAATATTAGAGGTATTAGAATATTCTAAAGACAAGTTTTATCAATTATTAACATATGCGTGAGATAGGAAAAGGAAGATTAGGGCAATAAGTTATCACTAACTCACATTTAAAGGTTGCTCAATTAATACGAGAATATCTCCTTTTAAGACTAGAGAAGAATCTTGTTACCTTTATGAACACAATCTCAAGTCACAATTAGTAGATAATATCTTACCAAATTGCGCAATATCCATCACATTATTATAATTTATGTCCATCCTCCCTAAAAAATTCATAAAGATATTCAAAGAAATTATTTTCTTTAATTCCTTGGGATGTTTCGAGAATATCCACCGCCAGATTTCTTTGCTGGATTGGCCCAAAAGTATAAGTATGAGGAGCACATACATTTAATCACCAAAGCGATTGTGGTAGAGTGATAAATATGGAGTGGTTGTTATGGGCACGAAGCAACCTTTAGTTCTTTGGTCAGCTCTCCCACCCATCGAGTCATTGTACTATAGGCCGAGAGTTCGAACCTCGTTATGGGCATGAAGCAACTTTTAATCCTTTGGCCAACTCTAACACTCATCGAGTCACTGTTACCGACGGTGAATACCCTACAATATGAAAAAAAAATAAAAAAAATAAAAAAATAAAAAAAACACCTCCATGAAGTAAAGAATGTTTTGTTCTGGTTTTACTAAAAAAATTGAGGAAAAACCCTCCCAAAGTGGAAACTTTTTCAAGCATGAATTCTCATCGATTAAAGCCATCAAGATAACGAAGTAAAGGCCAAAAAGAGGTCTTTTCTTGGTCAGGAAGAAGAGTGTTTTATATTTTTATTTTTTTGTGATGGATGATGATATGGATATGATGTATTTTGGAGATGAGGGATTTGATTGTTACAACGTCTTTTTCTCAAAAAAGGGGGTTGATAAAAGCCATATTAAAAGATAAGGGGTAGCCCAATCTACTTCGTAAATGGTCAGGAAAGATTCATTTATTTCGTGCGTGTCCTCTTTGATGATTTTTTGGACAAAACTTCAGCGTCTGGTCCTTATTGTGCTGTTTGTGTCTACTTCTCCCAACATGAACATTTCACTTTGGTTCACTTGTAAGTTCCAAAAGAATATATTATCTCCACTCAAAAGATTCCTTCTTTTTTTTCTTTCCCGGTTGTTATTATGCTATATATTGCTATGTGAATCAAATTAGAAAGTTACATCATGTTTGCATTTGCACCACAATTTGTAAAAATGGAAAGCAACACCATTGTTAGATACTTTCTAAAAGTTGCGAGTTCATTGTATATTCACTATACTTAAGATGGTGTTACAGTTTGTGTAAAAGTAAATGAGCACCGTTTTGAGGTTGAAGTGCGACGTTTAGATGAGGAGCGTGTGAATAAGATGGCGAGAGTTCAAAGGAAAAGCGTTGCAGGATCATGGCCATGACCAATTTGGCTTCCAGCATAGAAAAGTTTTGTCCAATGCAGGTACGAGGTCCCCGACCAAATGGCAAGAATACGACTTGGCCTTTTGTAGCATTTGAAATTCCTTGGCCAAATCGTTCCGGTTTAAATTCACTCGCATCCTCACCCCATATTTCCGGATCATGATGGATTAACATGATCGGTAATGAAATCAGGGCTTCAGCTGGTAAAGATAGATTCCCTAGTTTAGTTTCTTGAGCAGTTTTTCGCCTCAATATAGGTGTTGGTGGGTATAGTCTCAAAACTTCGTACAATATCATGGTAACCTGCACAAAAATGAAACAACCTCCTAGTTAATGTCTATGCAATGAAAAAACAAATGGCGACGTGTTTTATAAATAAAATACTATGAAATTTTAACAGGAAATAAGAATCTTTAATTATATTTTGTTTCACTAATAAGACACGATTTAGATTCACATGTATGACAACCGATGGATATATATCAAGCTTTTGCACAGAAAAAACAAATTGAGAAGCAAATACTTACACATTTGAGACGATTGAGCCCATCAAAATCTGGCTTCTTTGATCCAAACAGCTGAAAAACTTCTTCTCTAGCACGAGCCTGCCAATCAGTGTGCCTACTCAATAAGACCATTGTCCAAACAAGCAGTGCCGAGTTGGTTTCTTTCCCAGCAACATAGAACAATTTGCATTCATCAATAATCTCTTCGATGCTCATCCCAACACCCTCCTTACCATGAAAATCAATCTCTTGAGAATTGGACTCAAGTAGTAATCCCAGTAAGTCATCCCCAAAACCATGATGATGATGATGGTTTGTTTTTCTTGTCTCGAATCTTTTGTTGATGATTTCTTTTATGGAGTCATCTACTTCTTTTAAAATTTGTTCCATTCTTCTATTCTCCTTTGTTGGCAAGAACCTGAGCAATGGATGAAAAAAGCAGAATACACAATCACAGGTCAGTTACTAACTAATATGATTGGAGGAATTAAGGCATTGTTAGTACTTTCAATTTAGATTGTAAAATACTTCGACCCAAAGTACGAGTTATATATGTTGGTCGTACTATTTTTGAGACAGAATGAGTAACTTAATAAAAAGGGAAATATCACTCGCGCTCTTAAGAAAGCGAAACATAATAAGAGGTAAGTTTGTCATTTCACATTTCTACATTTCATTGAGATTTGATTGTGTATATTTTCACTTAAAAGGGGGAAAATTGAACTTTACCTATACCATGGGATGAAAAGTTTTTGCACTGCTTTGAAGAAAAGCTCAGACTGTTCTCTTTGGAGCTCAAATATCTTCCTCCCCTCTTCATAGTTTCTTCCAAATGCTGTTCTTGAAATTGCATCAAAGGACAATGTTTGAAGATGTGGAAAAACATCCAACTCACATGATCCTTTGGGTGTAATAATCTCTTCCCATTTGCTCAACATCTCACTAGCACTAATGCAAAAAGATGGCAACATTAACTGCACAAAAAAATAAAGAACTTGTCATTTGTACCGCTCCAAAAATTAGTTAGCACAATACAAAAAAACAGAACAAGTTTGTATTAATTTTTCCCTCTATCTCAAAATCATTATCTTATTTATTGTATTGAAAAGACGAGAAAAGAAAAATATAAGAAGAAAGAAATCAAAGAAATGAAACCTTTAACTTCTCCAAATGAAAAGCAGGGTTTATGAGCTTTCTATGTTTGGCCCATTTATCTCCATCATAGCTACTGAAACCTTGGGTAATGTACCTGCTAACTGGTGTTAGAGAATGAGCCTTTCTAAACACGGACATGTTTTGGGTCACCTCTCTTATGAGTTCAGGTTCCATGATAATCACATTTGGTTTTGGTCCTAACCACAACCATGTAACTTTACCTGCCAAAAATAGTCACTAAGTTCAGAAAATAGTAATTGGATCATTTAGCTACAGGAAAAATGTACATCCATAATCTCCAAACTCACGAGTTACAAAATCAAAATATACATAATCCATTTATTCCGTTTGAACTAAAAACGAAAATACAAATTAAACATTTATTTTAAAACGGAAGAAATATATAATTAATATATGTATGGTAGAGTAGGTAAGGTACCATATTTGTTGACGAAATTATGGAACTGAGGAAAGACTCTTGGGATGGGATCATCTGAGAGATCAATTGGCTTGGAACCAGCATCTTTCATCAGCTTTGAAATTTCTATGGCATCTCCGATAAGCAGCCGGTATGGATTCCCCAAGAAACCTTGATCTTTAAACTGTTTCTCAAACTTCTTTGGCGTTAACCATACCCAGTTGAAAAACTTCCATGCGAGCATTACTGAAAAGATAATAATACTGCAAGAAAATAACAATGTTGCTGTGGAGGAGACCAAGACAACCTTCATTTTCTTTGTATGATCCTTTCCCTTTTTTCTTTCTCTCTTTGTTTTTTTGGCTGATTGAGGAAATGTAGTTATACTTAACCGTTCGATCTCCGCCTTTAGAATTATGGGCCTGCAATTGCCGCCTGAATTATGCCTTTCCAGAAACGTTTTTCCAAATAGAGTTTCTTCCCTTCATATACGTATCTACTTGGGCGAGAATTACCAGTAATTGTTTCTCGATGTCGTATTCTATCGTTGGGAAGTATACTTATTACAAATTACTGTGTTTATTATGAGACATCTAGATTTGTTCTAAATTTTACCAAGATGTCTTTTTAATTGAAATAAAAATTTTCAAAATAGTTTCTAATAATTAGGAGAACACAACGAATGTGAAAATATATTTTTAAGGTTTTTCTTCCAATTAAAAACGCATCTTAGGTGAAACCTAAGACAAAATCAAAATGTCTTATAATAAGCACCGAAGGGAATATAATACTCCTTTAGGTCCTTAATATAAGCCATTTTGATTTGTCCTAAATTTCACTTAGTACGTATTTTTAATTGATTAAAAAAATATTAAAAATATTTTCTAATAATCAAAAGAACACAATGAATGTGAAAATATAATAAGCACCGAAGGGAATATAATACTCCTTCAGGTGCTTAATATAAGGCATTTTGATTTGTCCTAAATTTCACCTAGTACGTATTTTTAATTGATAAAAAAAATATTAAAAATATTTTCTAATAATCAAGAGAACACAACGAATGTGAAAATATATTTTTAAAGTGTTTTTTTGTCAATTAAAAATGCGTATCAGGTGAAACCTAAGACAAATCAAAACGCCTTGTATTAAGAACTAGAGGGGAGTAATATAATATCTCAAATAACAAGGAGGCAGAATTAATAAGCAATGTGTAAGCATAGGGTGATAGTATAGAATAGTATCCCCTCACAGTTTTTGACACGATTTCATATGGTTAGAAGTAGTTTATGTGTTAATTTGTTTAGATTATTCTAACTCGGAATGCAGGAGGGAACACCCACACACACACACATTCTTACAATTGATGTCATCATATAACAATTACACATCTTAATAATTGGTGTATTAGTTAAGTTCATAAAAACTTCATTATTATGAAATGATGAGAGCGCATTTGTTTGCCATCTACCAGTACATATATTACTTCAAACTAAGACTCATTAAAGTGTGGTAGTACAAACTACAAAACTTAACGGTTTCTTGATTTGTTGTAGTACTTCAGTTTCAACTTTGCAAGAGACCTCGCAGGCTTTCGACTGCCTTTTTCTCTCTTCATCTTTCTCTGAAAGTGTATTACCTTCTTCGAATTCCTTCCATTTCCCTGCAGATGCTTCAATCATGTCTTCGGTGTTCATCATGTCCCAAAGGTTCCGTTCTTTGAAAATGTGTAATGCACTTCAACTTGGGTGTTCCTCATCGTGCATGATTGCCCCAACAACCTTCGTCTTCTTCTAACTCCTTGGGTCCTTCATGATCATTTCCTTCTCTTACCCAACTTTTAGTATGGTTTTGTCTTCCGGCGGATCCATATATATCATCATCCATGCCCATTCTCATTCCCTGCCGATCCTCCTTATCAATTTCGAATTCTTAATTAAGACGCAGATTGGGCCCAACAATTTCAAACGATTCAACAGCCCTTAGATCACGTGTTAATACTCCTCCCGCGTTCTTATTATAAGATATTTTAATTTTTTCTAAATTTTATTTATTAAGTTCTTTGAAGTGAAAATAAAATTTTAAAAAAGTATTTTCGCATTTATTGTCTTCTCTCAATTATCACGAATTATTTTTGAGATTTTATTTTCAATTAAAAAAAAAAAGATAGATAGAACTTGCAAGAAAACAAAATGTATTAAAGAAAACAAAATATATTATAATAAGGATCGAAAAGAGGTACTCTTTCCCTCCCACAAAAATAATCCAATGTAATAAAAAAAAATTGTCCCAAAAAATAGTCCAGTTTCACAAAAGTCAAAATTAATTGAATTGAAATGACTTAAATATCCAAAAGAGTAGTGGTAAGAAAAACAAGGTGCACTCACTTTCATTTTCATTTTTTTTTTAGTTTTCTCCCATTTTTCAAATGATTATATCTTTTAATACATGAATAATTTAAAAAAATATGTTATATATCAAATTAATCTACGTAATGAGATCTTTCCATCAAGATTAATTGTTTTTTTTTTTGAGATAAAAATTTTGATCAAATTTAAGTTATAAAATAAATGCATATGTAGCTAACTTTTATAGAAATAACTAGAAATGGTATTAGTAAAAGATAGGGACATAAAATAGGTTGTACATTTGGTGTGTTGACCAAATTAAAAAAGTTGTATATTTTCAAACTGGATTATTTTTCCGAGACGGAGGGAGTATATGACAGGAAGCTAACAGAGAGGATATTATGCACGATTTGTGCGTTTGGGGAGGAATGTTTGGGTTTGTGGGATCTTGAGGCTTCTGTGTATAGAGAGTTTATAATGTGGGAGTAGAGTGATTTGATGGTCATGGACTTGTGCGCTCCTCCAAACAGAGCCTAAAAGGTCTAGTTCAACTTGGTGGACTAATTACGTTTTGGGCTTACTTTTGTCCTATTGTCCCTTGAATTTTGCTGGAGAAGTATATAACTCTTGACTCTACGAAATAATTAGCCACGTACTGTTATTGACGTTATAATCATCATCCTATATAATACGTGCCAAAAAAGAAAAAGAAAAAAGAAAAAGACCCATATAATTAGGATGCAAGGGTGAAACACTAATTACCTATGATTCAATCTAGTCTTACATACGCATATAGTAGTGGTGATTTCAAGAATGATGTATATGTATAATATGGTCGAGGGCGTTCAACATTCCGCCATCACCATGCCCCATGCACACAGATTGTATCTATTCCCTTCAAAATTACTTCATACAACACAACTAATAGATCTCATCATTTTTCGTTCTTTCTTTTCATTTCAGCACATTATAGAGACACACAACAATTTGTTTGAAGACCATTAGTTAGGATTATAGGATTTACCAACTGCCAAAAAAAAAAACTTTAAAGAGGTGCGGAACCATTCAACAACTTCAAAACTATCCCATGAAACATGAAGTCGAAAGCATCATCATTACATCTAATTTATCAAAGAAAAATGAAGTCGAACCATTACCAGACAACATAAATGTAGATATATATGATAAAGAAAATCCAGAAAAAAAAAAAATCCATCCGCCATCAACGAGCATGATAATTAAATCCATGGATAAAAGGCTAGCAAAAAAATCCTTCCTACGACACCATTCAGTCATTAATTAAATTAAGATTGACTAACATCAGCATCATCATATGTTGAGCAACACATAGATAATTAAGAGGCTGATTGTGTAAAGTCACAGATGGAGCGTAAGGTCCAGGTTAGGGTGGCATTTCTGGTGGTTACGAACCGGAGTCGGCTGGATTGTAGAAAAATGACCCGAGGCGGCGGCACCCGCCCCCGATGCTGACCCGATAAAAGCAAATCCATCGGGGGCCCCACCGTGTGACGGGAACGGCGGCATCATCAGCAGAGCAGCGTTGTTAGCACCGGGTGATGGAGACGACGATGACGGCAGCAGAACTCCTCCTCCTCCGGTGGCAGGGTGGTGGTGGTGGTGGTGGTGGGAGTCGGCGGCGTGGATGAGGTTGACGTTGAGGCAGCCGCAAGCGGGTAACATCTGAGGGAGAGGATCGTGGTGTTGGTGGTAGAGGGCTCTCCGGGCGGCGGCTCTCTCACGCTTGTGGGCGTTCTGGTGGCCACCCAAAGCCTGAGAAGAGAAGAATTTCCGTGAGCAGTAGAGACAAGAGAACAGCCTCGCAGCAGCATTAGTGGTGCCGGTGGCGGTGGTATTCATTCCGGCGGAAGAAGATGGCGGAGGAGACGGTGGTTTCCCAACAGCAGCATCAGAAGGAGGAGAAGAAGGGGAAGAAGAATAAGGAGTGTTAGGGCCGTAGAAGTAGTCATGAGGAGGATGAGGGACGAAGAGGGGTGGTGATTGGTCGTCAGAATAATGACGCTGGTGGTAGAAGTGCTGGGGCGACGGCGGAGGTGGTGGTGCTCCGCCGGAAAAGGGAGAAGGGGAATTAAGGTCGTTAAGGAAGCCATAGTAAAAAAGGGGGTCATCTTTGGTTGTGAAGCCGCCGGTGCTCCATGGGTGGTGGTGGTGATCATGAGGCGGCTCCATAAATGGTTACTTTGGGATGGGGGAGGGGGGTTATTTTTTTCTTTGCTCTGTTTTTTTTTTAAGAGAATGGAACAGAACAGAGCAAAACAGAGGAATTCGGTTTGTATGTGAAGGGATTAATTTTATTTGTACTGGAGAGAGAGAGAGAGAGAGGGGGAGAGAAAGGGGGCGGGCGCGGGAGGGTGGTCAGTGTGTGAGTGTGTGAGAGAGAAGAAATAGAGGGAGAGAATCTTTATAACTGTTTGGGGGGTGGTGGTGGGAGAGATGACGAACCGGAACGCAGCAGTGACAGCCAATTTTAATCAAAGTTGGTTAGTTTTGGGGTTTTTTGTTTGTTTGCGAGTTTGGACGTACTATAGTACGAGTGGCAGTAGAATTTGATTTGAGTAGCACCTTGGCTGCTTACATTCCAGAGTTTTTTTTTTTTTTTTGATTGGATGGAATCATTCATTTGATGAGCTCTCAAACTTTGATCACTTCCCTTTTGGGTTTCTTAACTTCTCTTTCATACCTGCAAAAGCACTCAGGCCGCGATGTTATCACATTTCCTTTTAATTATACAAATGGTAACCTCAACATTTTTATTTTTACTTTTATTTTTTTATGTTTTTTAAATTAAAATAATATGTAACAATCAATAGTATAATTGAAGAGAAATGGGTAACCCACGACAAAAATGTCACCAGCTCAAAAGGAGAGAAGTAGTAGATATAGATTGTGTTCTGAATGAATATTCTGACTTCATAATGACCAAATCCTCTTCTTTTACAAGTGTTTTAATTCTCCCTTCCCAACATCTCAAAATCGAGCTAGCCCTTCATCATCAACATCATCATCGACAAATAGCCCTTCATCTCAGCATCTCCCTCCCCTATCAATGATGACATTAGTTTACTTCTTTAATGGAATGGATCGAGGTTCTGTATCTCTTTCTAGGATTTTACCTGAAATGGGTTGTGTTTTTTGTTTCCTTGTAGGGGGGTCGTACTAGGATCCTTATTCCCCCACCTGTCAAATCTATCATCCCTCTACCCCCATCCTCTTTTTCTTTTCCATTTTGAAAACTAATACTCCGTCGGAAGATCATTATTATAAGACATTTTGATTTCGTTCTAAGTTTTATTTGAATTGAGATGATTTTTTAATTAGAAAAAAAATCTTAAAAATATATTTTTCAAAATCGTTAAGTTCTTCTAATTATTATGAAATATTTTTAAGATTTTTATTTCGATTAAAAGACATCTGAAAGGTAAAACGAAATCAAAATGCCTTATAATAATGGACCAGAAGGAGTACATTAATAATTGAAACTCTTTCCGAGTTTCTATAACTTCTTCGTCTCGGACTAGCTAGTAGTAGCCTGGTAACTGGTTATATAGTTTGTAAAAATTGAGTCCATATATACTTTTACTTAAAGCTAAGATGGTTATTATAGGCTTATAGCTAGTTTATTACTATCAGAACCGCTTTGAGGTTAAAAGTACGACGTGTAGATAAAAAAGAGTGTGAGAATAAGACAAAGAAAAGTTTAAAGGAAAAGCGTTTATAGTCCTAATCAATTTTTATTTTCAACATCCAAAAAGTTTTGTCCAATGTACGTACGAGTTCCCCCGCCCAAATGGCAAAAAAAATGTAGTGATCTCCCATTTCCTTCATTCAACGAGAAAAAAAAAATGACGACGCAATAAAATATAGAGAAACATTAAGTTGATTAGTTCTAATGTTAACACATTAACTCTAATTTTAATTTTATATATACCGTCTCATTAATGAGATAGGATTTCTTCAATATTTGAGAGGACATGATGACATTAGGACAATCCCATATACTATATCATGTTCTTGTCGGGAAAACCAATTGAGAAGCAGAAAAACCTCCACGATTGAGACGACGATCGAGTCCATCAAAATCTGATTTCTTTGATCCAAAAAGCTGCAACCTTCTTCTCTAGCACGAGGCTGCCAATTAGCTAGGGTGCCTACTTCATACACATATATATATCACCCTGCTTTCTTTTCCCACAACATAACTTATGCTTTATCCTTCTAAGTTGTTACCATGGAAATCAAATTCTTGAGAGTTAGACGACTCCAGTAATAACCCAATAAGTCATCCCCAAAGCCATGATGATGAACTTTTTTTGTTCTCGTCTTCAATACACCATAGAGAAAGAGGGCTGAAAATAACTAATTAGATACTCCGTAGTATGGAAAGGGCAAGATTAGTACTTATCGTCATATTATGAAATACTCTCTCCATTCTAAAACAACATGAATCATTTAATTGAAAAAGAAACAAAACTCAGTTGTACCGTATTTAATTAAAAAGGCCAATATGATAAGAGGTGAATGTCATTACACATTTTTTTTTTTTACATTTCATTGACATTATATACTATTCCCTTCCCTCCGTTCCAAAAGAAATATCATTTTAACGAATTAAAGAAATTTCAAAATAAGTGTCTTTCTCGCATTTCAATGCACTTTTTGTCTAAAATTATCCTCATAAGAATTAATACTATTGGTGAACATTTTTTTAATGGAGTTGGTTAAAGATATTCAAGTAATTTTATTACCCTATTTAGGGGTGTTCACGATTTGGCTCAATCCGGTGGAACCGTCCAAACTGGTCATCGGTTTAGATTAGCGGGCGAATTATAAGTGAATCTTTACTCCGGTGGATTTGAAATTTGAAAACCGATCATACCGGTCCGGATTACGATTTGGCACTATCAAACCGTCTATCAAATCAGACCGGACCGTATATATATTATTAAATAATAATATAATGGTTTTGTATATATAGCTGCAGATGATGACTTATAACGAAATTGTTAAGTTGTCTGATTGGCTTTGTTGTTCCCCCTTACTCTTAAATTTGGTTAAGGTTGTGAGTTCAAGCCACCCATGATTAAATTTTTTTGTGGGATTTTTAGATTGAATTTCACTTATTTGAAGGACTGTGTTAGATATTATTTTAAAAAGGCCCATGAATAATTTAGAAAAAGTCCAGATAAATCCTCAAAAAAAGGCCAAAAAACAGGTCTAATAACCAAAAAATATTCAATTTTTTGGCCCAAAACGGAAAAGCCCAATTAGAAGCCCAAACCGCCAATCCACCTAAACCAATTCGTTCATAACGGATTGGATTGGTTCAGTTTTGTCAGGTATCGAGGATTAAATAAGAAAATAGAGAATCTCCGTCACCGGAGGAAGGCAAAGAGAGACGAAGTCCGTTACCGGAAAGGGGCAAGGAGAGAAGAAAATTCGGGGCAAAGGGACACTTGTTCTGCAACCAGAAACTTGAGTTAATTCATCGATGCCTTTCCAGAATTCATTACAAGGCTAATATAGTAAAAATGCACATAATAACAAAATTACAAAATAGGACTAACATTTGCTACAATATCAAAATAAGCCGGATCATGACAAGTTTAGACATCAAACCGGTCCGGTTACGGTTTGAAAAATTTTAAAACCGTAGTGATCGATTTGGTTACGGATTACTATTAATTTGGACCAATCTAGTCCGTGAATACTTCTAACCCTATTAAAGAATTTCTTAAACTATGTGCAAAATATAGGATGTCAATTATTTTGGAATGAAGGAAGTATTATACTCAATATGTACAAAGAAACGGTCCATTATTTAACTTGACGATTACATTGTTTTTAGTTCAATTTACAAATTATGAAGTAGACTACTTTTATGGAATAAGAATTATCACTCAAAGGAAGAAACATATACTCCTTATGTCCCGAAATTATTATTCAGTTTGTGATTTTATTTTTAGTATAAATTATACTACGATAAAAATTCAAACTGAACAATAATTTTAAGACACATGGAGTGTAACCATGGGATGAAAAGTTTTGTACTGCTTTGAAGAAAAGTTCAGATTGTTCTCTTTGGATTTTGGAGCTCATATATCCTCCTTCCCTCTTCATAAAAAAAATTGCTGTTGTTGAAATTGCATAACAAACAACGTCGTCTCGAGAAATAGGAGAACAACCAACTCACATGATCCTTTGGGTGTAATGATCTCCTCCCATTGTTCAACATCTCACTGGCACTATTAGTACAAAAGGATGGCAACATATACTGCCAAAAAATTGGAGAAGAAGATGTCATTTGGTACGACCCCAAAAATTAGGCTATGAAATACCGCCCAATTCAAATAAATAGAACAACTGGATATTAATTACTCCAAATGAAAAGCTGGGTTGATGTTAGTTAATTATGATAGTTTCCTTCTTCATAAGACTCGATGGCACATTGTAGATTGTGTTGTTCTTTAAATTTAAACAAACGCGGGAAAATGTTTAGGATCCGATACGCCTAATTAAGCAAAACAATACAATATTTATTATGGAAGATTTTGATTTGATTAATTCTAGAATCGGATAAGGATTTGTGTTACATGTTAAACCTTGATTTTTGTTTTAGTTTCAAGGACGTAATTTCAGAAGATTATATTAATCATTATAGTTATGACCATCTGTATTTATTATCTTTGTCATCTCTTTACTCTTTAGGGTTCATCCATTGATTAGTTACGTACAAATTTATAATGAAGGAAAGGAGGATTATTAATTTGTTTAAGAAGATTATTAATTAATGAAGGAAAGGAAAAACAAAAAGAGAAAATAAAAGGCCCTTGATTAGCGCCCATTTTCCACTAAACTTACCCGAGAGATAAACTTTGAAGAGCCAAATTCTAGAACCCCTGCCATTTTGGCGCCCGTAGCCATTGTAGTGTAGAACCGCCATTACAACCAAGAACTTCACCTTCGTACGTTACATCTTTCTCATCCATCAAAGATGGTACTTCCTCCCGGTTCGTGATTGCTACAAAGCCCTAAACTTCTTTTTTTTTTTTTTTTTTATTAAATTCTGTTGTGAGTTGATCTTGGTCAATCGAAATTATCATCATCATTGCTTACGGATGTAAAGTTCAATTTTCTTCTAAATTAATCTTCAGGAGTTGCAGAGCTCATTCTTGAGGCTGCACAGGAGGGAGATCTGACATTGATCAGGAGTATGTTTGGTTTTAGTTTTAGATAATTCAATCGATTTTCTACTTATGTTGTGATACTTTTATCGACGTTGAAATTGAGTGGATTAACCCTTTCTTTTTGCCCCTTAGAATTGACGACTCTGTGTGAAAATGAAGGAGGTCCTGGAAAGATTGAATATGCCAATCTGAGCTCCTGAAGGCTACAACGCTCTTCACTGCGCTGCCTCCATTGGGGAAAGCATCCCCACTTGCAGGTTTCTCATCCATAAGCTCAAGTTTGATATCAATGCCCCTGATTTTGCTAAAGGTGCTTCCTTTTTCCCCCCATTTCTTTGCTCAATTGGGGTTTTCTTGGTTCAGGCTTTGAGGGGTTTTTTTGTGTGTGTACTCGTGCGTTTCTAATTTATTTTATTTTTGTTTTTAGATGATCTTCTTGACTTGTGCACAATCACTTATCAACAAGGTTCATGCTACTACTGCTTTGTTGATCGCTTTTTTTTTTTTTCCACAAGTGTTCTGTCTGTTGGGAAATTCAACAAACATGTTTTATGATCAATATAAACGGCTTTCGTCAAATTCTGTTAAAGATTTGTAAGCTGTATTAGAAGAAAGGTGATGGCTTGATTTTGCCGTGATGTTTAAGGAGTTCAATGTGCATTGCGGTTGTAAATGGCAATTACATGCATGCTCATTATTCTTGATTGTCTTTATTATCTTGCAACTTTTTTGGTAAAGATTTCAAGGAGATGTTGATTGAAATTTGTTGATTACTGAGAGTACAATTGAACTGCACCTATTTGCTTCTCTTCAATATGTTTTCGATGGCTAACTTTATTTGTATTTCATCCTCTTCTGACTTGATGTACGCAGGGGATACACCCTTACTTCATGCAGTTGCGGGAAAGCATCAGCCTACTGTTATGTATCTCATTAACAGTGGTGCAGATATTACAAAAAGTGACGTGGATGGGTGCACCCCATTGCATTATGCAGTTGAAGTAGGTATGACACTCTACCATGGCTTTTCGGAGGTTTCCCCTTCATTGTTGTAGTGTTTCAACTCTATGTATTTCTACACAACCAGTTATGGGCTTCTTGGTTGTATACGTATTTGTTAGTGTGACTTACAGTAAAGCTATTTTAGGGTCCACTGAGTTGGTTAAGCTGTTGATCTCGAAAGGGGCTGATTTCTCTGCAAGTTCTAATGCCGGGACCCCGGTACATATTGCTGCTGATTGTGGAAGAGTTGAAATATTAAAATACTTGTTGGAGCTCAAGGCAGATGTAAGCTAAAATACATTTTCAGACTACTCTTGTTTAATTTGATGGGTAATGAACTCCTTGGTTTTCAATCTCTTGGCGTGTAATTTGAGATAATTTTCAGCAGAAGCACGTTGGCTGGAATTAGAAGCACCTAGATGGCTAGGTCATGCTATTGTATTTGGTCTCTTATTTCTCTGTCTGAAGAACCTTTTAGGGTGATATATTTGTTGCTGTTTAGCTAAACAGTGTGCATTAGCTGCTCTCTTATATTGGCACATGCATAAATTTGAAATACATCATTATTGCTATTTCTAAAAATTGTTGTACATGGTTCTTACTATGTTTCTTTTCCTGGGCAGCCAAATTGTGAACTAGTCTCTATGTCTCCACTTTGGTACTCTTTGCGTTCTAAATCACATGATTGCATGGAGCTGCTACTAAAGGTATTCTCCTTTTCTTGTGTGCTTGTTGAAAGTATATGATTGATCAATCCAAATTGGATGTTCCTCAGGTGCTTGTGCATGCTTTACTGGCCAGAAGCACTATGTGCCACTTATGCCGTGCATTCATCATATGTAAAACTTATCTGCTTAGAACTTACTCTATTTGCGCCATTTGATGTGTTACAACAACAAATATATGAAAGGTATGGGTCAAAATCTAGGAGTGGATGCAGGTCACAACTCACAATTTGTTCTCATACTTCCTCTGTTCAGATCGCTTGGACTATTGTAAACTAAAACTGGAAAATAAATATGAGTAATGAGGGAATTCCTTTATTCATTACACATAACTTGTGATACTTTTTAAAGTGTTGTGATTTCTTGTTGGTCTGCTGCTTATTTTTGAATGATGGTTGGGTCGGGTACTCGGGTTTATGAAGGAATTGAAAGTGCTCTTATTGTCTTTGGACCCATACCTTTGCTTAGATATTGGCTTGAGGTGCTGGTCGTCTACTTGTCTCCTTGAATCATTTTGATAAAAAAATAATAATAAGGAATATTGTTGTCCTCTTACCCTATTCTCTTGAAATCGTATGTTGCATTTGGGTTCTTACATTTGCTTGGAAATATATTATATCACCGTAGGAAGCATTAAAGTAAGTATTGCATTTTTAATTCTAAATTTCTAATTAACCAATGAGCTTGAATACCCATTGTAGTGAGGTAGTGAACCTATCTGTATTGATCTACTAGTTCTATTTGAGGCAGGCAGGAGCTGATCCAAATGTTCGTTCCTTTTATGCTGCAACACCTCTATTTTTTTGCTGCTGGCATACGAGATGAAAAGATGATTCGCTCCCTTTTGAAAGCTGGTGCTGATCCTAACATGACTGAGGGTGTGAGTTAGCTTTGTCGGGTCTCATTTGCTTCTCGTAGCTATTTTTTTTTTCTTTATTGCTTTTAAAATGGACTTCACCCCTTCATCTCCCTCCCTGCCAGAATGATAGTGTCTTTGTCTCGGAATCGAAACATATATGGAAATTAGTTCTTCACATACCTCAAACATTAAAATCTTTTGGTTAATTTATTTGTTTCACCTCCTTCCTCATATATTGTTTCTGATTTTCTTTTAAAACTAAATATGCCCATAATTTTCTTTTATAATCTTTAGGTATTTTGAGTGTCCTCAACGTAATAAATTCTGTGTCATCATTGTTTGAAACTAGTTTTCAGTTATTTGGTGATGCTTCTAAATTTCCATCTTTGTTTTCTTTCTTTTTTTTTTTGTCAAATGTATGATTTGACATTCTGGCGTGTAATACCCTAGTTCTCTTATCAATTTGTTGGATGATTGAAGCAGATGTACTAAATTAGACTTTATGTTGGATTCGCAGTTGGGTAAAACACCACTAGAACTTGCAGCATTTTGCGGGTTCAGGGAGGTGTTTAAGCTTCTGCTTCCGGTTACTTCTCGCATTGAATGTTATCCTTATTGGAGCATTAGTGGAGTGATGCATCATGTTCATTCATCAGAAGCTTCAGCGCAGGTTCTGTTAGAGTAGCTTTCACATTTCTCACTGGATTTGTAGCTTTATTTCCTGTTTGGTGACCTAATCCATGCTGCTTTGTGAATTGTATGATTAGTTGTCAATGTGTTGGGGTTATACTTGTACCTGTTAGTTTACTACTATACTAGTCAATTTGAGCATTGCGCCTCTTGTCGTTGTCATGTTCCTCTGTCATTTTTCTGTCCTGTCTGAGATACAATATGATGCATCTTTCATTGGTCATACTCGGTTATGTTGAAGCAATATCGTTATTAGTATTTAAATGTATGACAAGAAGATTGTGTCGTCGTATAACTTCCCTCTTGCTAGCATGTTCAGGAGCCGAAACAAGATTAGGGACTTCTTTTTCTCTGCTGAAATTCTTTCACTTCTTTCGGTGAACTACTAGATTTTGAGAATTGATGATGAAAGTTTGCGGAGAGGAACTTTCATACCATAGATGTGAAAGGGTACTGTTTATAAAATCTTTGGTATCATGCTAATGTTTCATCAGTTTTTTGGTGATTGTTTTGTGCCTATTTATGGAGACATTTCTCATGATTGTGTGCTTACTCTTAATGTTCACGTGGAGTTGTATCTCCACACATTTGTGTACTATTCATCGCGTAGTTGTTTTTCTGAGGAAATCTTTGTTTCTGCTTGCTCTGTTATGCAGTGGAAGTCAAAGCGGGAGGAGCTCTTTCTGATGGCAAAAGAGAATGGAAGAGTTGCATTCGAGAAAAAAGATTACATGAAAGCGATATACTGGTATACCCAGGTGATTGTTGCAGCTTTCTAGCAAAAGTAATGTTTTATCTATTTTGAGGTTAAGTTTAGAGTAAAATTGTCGATAAGGCAGAAATATCCCAGTCCATTTCTGGATTAGCCTTTTGGTGGCAGTATATGTATCTACCTTAGCTCTCAGTCTTAGTATTTGTTTCTTAAGTTTGTGATATAGAACTAGGGTGCATCATTCCAATTATTTTGCTTCGGATTGAGTCTTTGATCTGTTTAAAGCAGGCATCTCAGGCTGACCAAGCTGATGCTAGAGTACTATCAAATCAGAGTTTGTGTTGGGCCCTATTAAATGATGGTGGGCGTGCTCTACGCGAAGCACAGGCTTGTGTTGATTTGGATCCTAGTTGGTCGAAGGCGCATTATAGAGAAGGTGCAGCTTGGAAACTTCTTAAGGTAGGGGTCTAAACTCTAAAGAAGTTTTCATCTCAAATAGGAAGAAGTCAAAGAGAATAACAAATGCTTGTTAACATTCTTATGCGCAGAAATTTGACAAGGCTGCAGAAGCATTTTCTCGGGCGTTGGCCCTTGATCCTCGAAACAAGGGAATTGAAGAGGAATACCGGTACTCTATTTACAATTGCATATGAAAAGCTCGCAGTTTGTTCTTGATTCTGGAATTCTTCTTTTTTTTTTTGTTTTTTGTTTTCTGATTTGAGTTCTTTTGTTGTGCGCAAATACTTTCTCTTGATGTTTGCGTCTTCTCTAGTAACTCGGTATACTTTGGTGACAGAGCTGTAGACGCTGAGTGTCGCAAGTCCAGCCATTAAGACAGCGGATTCTAGGCTTGAAAATGAAGAATGTGGGATGCAAGATGCCTTGAGTTGCTCGAATTTTGTAGTGACACTTCAAATTTTGTTAATGGTACCGTAGTTGTATTAATGTGTTGAATCAATGTCTCAACTGAGACAATTAAAAGGGACTTTAGTTGTTATGATGCTAAGGAAGTGATGGGGTTTTGTTGCGGTGCAACGCGAATTTCAGTGCCTTATCATTACTAGTATAAAACTTTTTCGTTTCTTCGTCATTTTTTCAGCGTCAGATTCTCTATTCTGGTTTGAGCTGTGAAGGTTCATAAATCAGGTAGAATGAAAGGATTTTCCATTGTGCTTTTTGGCCTAATGAACCACATCTCTGGCTTAAGATTATGTTGATCATGATTACCCTTTTGATTGCATTATGGCATTATCATTTTAGCTTTAACTTGGAAGTTTGTTTGTTTGTTCACTCATTTTACATTTTAACTCATTTTACTTTTTAAACACAAAACAATGTTAAAAAAAAATCATCCAAACAACTTTCTGCTTTACATTTTAAATTCCAACTTGAAACACTTTTTGTTAGTGTAATGACCATTTTAGAACTAACAATAGTTCAGTGACAAATTTGGCAGGATTCCGTTATTTAGTGATTGTTTTTGGAAATATTTTTTTTTAAAGTTGACTATAATTGACAATATTTTAATTGTTTAGTGGTGACTCGTATTTGATATTTTAAAATATAGTTCAAAATATTTTTTTTCAAAGCCAACATCGAAACAACTTTTTGCTCAAAATATCATCTAAACAACATTTTCATTTCCCATTTAATTTTCAACTTTGAAACATGTTCCACTTGTAAGTGGTAAAATAAAATGTAAACTAAAGTTTTCAAATAAAATAAAATGTAAACTAACGTCCAAACAAGCACATTTTTGTGTCTAAAGTGTTTACAAATAGTTTGACTTGAAATGCAAGAGTGCTAATGTAAATTTCTTTCATAGACTCTCCCAGTTGCCTGTTCCTTCATCTTTGTTACTGAAATCTCTATCTGCCTAGTGAAATTTAAGGTGAATTTATGTAGTACTCAGAAAAGATTAAAAGAATAATAATAATAATAATGTACACAAAATTTATTTAGCTGCGTGCCGCATAATAAAATCTATAATTTCTTGTTTCCACTTGGAGCCAAATACGTGTAATGACCCATTGAACCAATTCGAGTTCAGGCAAAAAAAAAAAAAAGGAAAAAAAATCACCCTCGAACCATATTTTAATCCAAGTCTTTGTGAACCACTCTATTCATTATTGTAAGACTTCAGTTCAAATTGTAATTTGATCTATTTATTTATTTTCTGGTTACGATGTGTAAGTATATAAAGCTATTTTCTAGAAAACAGATTATTCCCGATGTGGATTGTGTTAAAATACACATTTATTGTAATATTGTGATGAAATATTTATTTTATATTGGATAAGATCTTTTCATTGTACTAAAATTATCATGAAGTTTGGTTCATTGTTTTGCTGGTTTTTTCATATTTTATTATTATTAACTATCCATCCCACTATAACTTTTTACATTTCCAATAGAAAAAATACCTAAAAATACACACTAAAAAAACAATCTAAACATAGAAAGATGAAATAAATCTAATTAAATTACACGCTAACAAAATTGGGTTTGCGGTACACATCGCTCGCTCTTAGTGGCCAAATTTTTTACTAAATTTAACTAGTATTATGCCCGCACATTGTGCGGATTTTACTATATTTTATAGTAACATTAATTTTCCTATGAAAAATGTACATGTTTTAACTTTTTCTGTTTTTTGGTATATTAAGCATTCAGAATCTAAATTCAAGGTTGTCATATGTTTTTTTTTTGGTATATAGTGTATCCGGTGTTTCAAATGATTGTTCTAACTAATCTGTCTTCGAATGGGGTAGGTCACTTTTGGAAGACAAACCTCTCCTAACAATCATTACTACATGTCCATGCACAGATTTAATCATGGATTGTAGTTAATTTGGTCCAATACTGTTACCACTTTGATCAAGTACTTCTTAGCCATATAGGGTATTTTAAATACAAATTAGTATGTTCAACTATGTAATATGCTTCTTGTTTAGGAGTGATAGTATATCAAAAATTTTTTTTTTTTCTAAATACGAATTAATATGATCAATTGTCTACTACTCTGCTTTTTTAGGGATATAAGTATATAAAAGATATTTTCAACAAAAGAAATTAAATTATGTATATTCTTAAAATATATTGACTGAAAAGCATATATTATTTACTTGTAGTAATTGAATCAAATATTATAAACAATCTTTTTTTAGGCATAACGCAAAATAAAAAAAAAGATAAATTCCAAAAAAAGTGAATAAAGCACAAAAAATAGGGGAAAAACCATGACAAAAAAAACTAATAAATAATTTTGAAATATTTATTCATACGCCAAACTTTTTCCTTAGTTTTTTTAATAGCAAAACAGGCTGTGCCTGGCGGGTGCATGACTCATTTTATTTATCTGGACTCATAACTTTTTCCTTCGTTATGAAATTAAACTTTTTTTATTTTTGAAAAATATATCAAATAGAATTATTTTAAAAAATAATATTAGCATATGTATGATGTATCTAAACTTGATTTCAAATTGTATTCGTAATATAATGATTTCACAACTAATCTTTATATTTTTTACAACTATTTTTTTTTTTTTTTGAAAAATATATCAAATGGAATTACTTAAAATAATACTAATATACATTTAATGTATCTAGACTTAGTTTTGAATTGTATTCTTAATGATTTGTTAACTAATCTCTTTATTTTGGTAATTACTTTCTTTTTATTTTTGGAAATGTTCAAATAAAATGTTTTGAGAAATAATATTAATCTACATTTAATGAATCCATACTTAGTTTTCAAATTGTATTCGTATTATAATTATTTGTAACTAATCTCTTTTTATTTTTTTTATAATTAATCTCTTTTTATTTTTTGAAAAATATATTAAATGGAATCATCTGTAAAATAATATTAACCTATCTTGCATTGGTTTCGAGTTGTATTTGTAGAATAATTATTTAGTAACTAATCTCTTTTTATTTTTTAAAAAATATATCAAATGGAATAATCTGAAAAAATAATATGAACATACGTTTAATTTATCCTGGCTTAGTTTCGTATTGTATTCGCAGTATAATTATTTGGTAATAAATATATTTTTTTGTTATTGGTAACTAATCTATTTTTATTTTTGGAAAATATATCAAATAGAATTATCAGAAAAATAATATCAACTTATGTTTAATGTATACAGACTTAGTTTTGAATTGTACTCGTATACGTATTTGGTAAATAATCTCTTTATTTTGATAAGTAGTCTCTTTTTATTTATGGAAAATATACCAATAATCTAAGAAATAATATTAACATACTTGTAATGTAGGTAGATTTGGTTTCGAATTGTATTCGTAATATAGTTATTTGGTAATAAAATTTTTTTTGGGTAACTAATATCTTTTAATTTTTGAAAAATATATCAAACAGAATCATTTGAAAAATAATACTCTCTCCGTCCCATAATTATTGTCCAGTTTTACTAAAATGAAAGATTTTATTTTTAGTCAAACTTAACTATATTTTACCTTGAACAACCGAATATACCCCTACATAAGTAATTGTTTAACCACAAAGATTTTATAGATAATGTTTTTTACTAAGGACAAATGTGTAACTTGATCCATAAAAAGTCAAATTGGACAATAATTTTGGGACAAAATTTTTTGAGCAAAGTGGACAATAATTATGGGACGGAGGGAGTAGATAATAGATTTAATTGGTTAGTGAGTTTTGAATTTCTATTTTATTATTACCGGGGACTTAAAATAATGGTCCTATTGCAGGAGAAACGAACGAATTGCAAGAATCTAGGCAAAACGCCCCGACACCAGTCTCTCCTACCATTTTTACCTTCCCCACTTCAAAAATCATCCCTTTTCAAAAAGGGTCCAATCAAACTTGCCAAGCATATAACCAGAAAACCCACTTCTACTACCAACAAATACTATCGAATCACAGAACCCAAAAGGGAAGAAAGGGTTGAGAATATGGCTGGTTACAGAGCTGAAGATGAATATGATTACCTGTTCAAGCTGGTGCTGATAGGGGATTCTGGGGTTGGCAAGTCCAATTTGCTTTCGAGATTCACGAGAAATGAGTTCAACCTTGAATCCAAGTCTACTATTGGTGTGGAGTTTGCCACTCGAAGTCTTAACATCGACACCAAAGTTATCAAAGCTCAGATTTGGGACACTGCTGGCCAAGAAAGGTTCTTTTTGGTTTCCTAACCCTCCATTTATTTTCTTTTCTTTTTTTTTTCTTCTGTGATTTTAAACTTGAATTAGATTCCTCATCTCATGTGGGTTTTCTGTGATGTACCTGATCTCATGTGTATTTTTTTGGATTCGCCCTGGCTGAGTAGTAAAGCTGATGATTTTCAAGGACAATTTTTTTTTTTTATAAGCGTCCACAGCGTGTGATTGATGTTCTCTTTTTACTTCTTGAAGATAGTTGTTTGGGTAGTTAGCTGTACAGTTTGAAAACTGGAGTTTTGTTGGAGTTCCTGTAATTTACTCCCTCACAAAATGATTGTCCTGTTTGTTCATTGTTGAACTAAACTAGAAACTTAAACCGGACAATCATTTTGCAAGGGAGGGAGCATGTCACCGTCATCCGAACAAAACTGGAAGAGCTGTTTGTTAAGTAGTGATCAGAATTTGTCAATACTGTGATCTTATTTTATATGCTAGCACTATGGTTGTGCAAGAGAGCTCTTGGTGAATTTGCCTTGCATAATTGGTCTTTGGGCATCAAGGCTCTCGGGTTGTATAGAACTATGGTTTTGAACAATTTTTTGGTGAGTTCCTCTAAGATCGGATTCATGTGTAAGATTTTTGCCAACTTTCCAGAGTGACTAAAAAAGTCCCTGCGATTTTGAATTTTTGGCAAGATATGTCCTCCTCTGTGAATGGGTTCACTTGCTAAGGAGCTGCACTTTCGTTTTATCGTTGGGAAATTTTCTTCCTAGATACTTGTTTGGCATCCTATTTTTAGTCTGGAAACTCAATTACATTGGTGTAATGAGCTACTGAAAGACAACAAGCACTCTTACCTCGGCCATGTCAGGCCCTCAGTGCTGATTTGTTTTCCTGAGCTTGTTTCTCCTGTTGTAAAGTTTTAGGGTTGTAGGTTGGAAGTGTTATGTCCAGTTTAAAGACTCAATGTCATTACATTTTTTTTGAGTACTTAAATATTGTTCTGGCTGCATGCAACAGTTATCCTTATGAGCACTATCAGTTTATTCATTTTGTAGGCATAGAATTGGAGAAGTTCAAGACTGATTGCAATGAGGCTGAGTTTCCCCCTTTTCTTTATGTTGGATACTTCAGTTAATTTTACACATCTGGACAAGTACCATGTTAAAAAATAAAATGATATCCTTCTCATATCTCTTTAGAACCACAAAATTTCTGCCTTTTTTAAAAAACTTGTTGGTTCTTAATATATTTGGTTCAAAACAGTTCCTATTTTGTCAAGCAAAACTCGTCAGTCTATGAACAAGAGCATAGAGGTAGAAAGGAATTTTGGGACTATTTTCTTGTGAGCCAATTTTTAATACATTTCTTGTGCTGCCTAATTCTGGCACACCAATGGTATAAAAATCCTGGAGATAGTAAAGAAGATTGCAATAATTACTTCCTGAATACTCTGAGTAATTGCTTCTGCCACCTTCATGGGGTTATCATGTGGAAAAGAGACCATCGAAGAAGTCTGCCAACAAAGGAGGATACTGCCACCTTGCCTATCTTTGCTGAAATTCTTTCTGTTAGAAGCCCGCATAGTTTTAAACTTATTTTCCTTCTCTGTTACCTTGATATCTGGTTTGAATCCGAGATTTGAATAATGGAATTTGTTATGAATCGTTATTTGTTATTGATTTAGGGAAATTCTAACCTAATGTTTTTGTTTCTAGTAGTGTAATGTCATTATAGCCCACTGTTTCTAGAGATTCTTGCCTTTCTCCAGAAGCACACTTAGTCCTATTCTCATTCTCTTCCGCTGCTTCTTTGCTTGCATATTTGTTCCATCTACACATTGGAGAAGGCAGGTTGATATATTTTGATTCATGGCCTTGAAGTTTCAATGCTGGCGCAGTGACTTTTCTCGAAAATAAAGGCTGCTAATGGCTTTCCTTTTCTGAAAGTGTGTGTTTGAGAGCCTCCACACTTAAGTTGATATATTTGCATGCTTTTTATGTGCACAGTCTCACTGGACCATAGACTGTCATAGCTAAAGAAACTACATTCACATAATCACATTAGCCTTCTGAAATAGCTATCCAATAACCTTTTTGTTGTGTGTGGTCTTTCGTTGTTATTGCTCACTAATCTATTTCTCTGGACATCTGTGCTGAAGTTAGAAGGAATTATGTGTATCATATTTTTCAGAGTGAAATTACAATAAATGTTGGTACTGTGCATTTGCACTGTGTTCGCTTAAACTTCTTCGTTAATTCTATGACCTTTATCGCCATTCAGGTACCGAGCTATAACCAGTGCTTACTACAGAGGTGCTGTTGGTGCTTTGCTTGTGTATGATGTCACTCGGCGTGCTACTTTTGAGAATGTAGAGAGGTGGTTGAGGGAGTTAAGAGATCATACAGACCCCAATATTGTTGTTATGCTCATTGGCAATAAATCAGATCTTCGACATCTTGTAGCTGTTCCAACTGAGGATGGTAAAGCTTTGGCAGAGAGGGAAAGCCTCTACTTTATGGAGACTTCTGCTCTGGAAGCAACCAATGTTGAAAATGCATTTGCCGAAGTGCTGACACAGATATATCGTATTGTCAGCAAGAAAGCAGTTGAAGCAAATGATGAAAGTGCTACTTCTTCCCTTCCTCCTAAAGGAGAGACAATCAACATCAAAGATGAGGGCTCTAGCTGGAAGCGATTTGGGTGCTGTTCAAGCTAGTTTGCGAGGAAAAGTTCGAGAACAGTTGCTGCTGTTGCAATGCGCAGCGGGCTTGTATATTACTTGTTCTCAATTGGTGGTCATGTTTCCATTTTTGTGTCCTTTGTCTCGGATGGTGCATACTTTATCTTAAATATTTTCCGTGAAGTTGGAATTGATAGGATAAGGGATAGTTACAGGTACCAGTTAGTACTTTGGCATTAGAAATGTAAAAGAGTCTGCATCAGTATTTTCTGGTATCTTGCAGGGGGAACTCAAAAAACAAGGCAGTTTTATGTAGTAAAAATTTGCATATTCAGAAGGTTCCTTGATCTTTCCCGTTCTTGCTCTTGTTTTCTGGTTATTCCTTTTACAAATTTCAACCCTTTCGTCCCACTTCAGCCCACGAATAATGAGGCAACAAAGTGTTGTCGTGCAGCATGAAAGAGCTGTATCACAGCTTTTCAGCCTTGGGTAACATTAACATTGTTGAACTCATCAACATTTCCTAAAGGTGCATGATTCTTTACAATATACTACTCTATCAACTGAACAGCAGCTATTGCTGGTATCTTTTCCCTCAATTTTTGTGTTAATGCGACGCGGACTGTCATTACCCCGGCAGCAGGGCCGCTTAGACGAACTTTTACAACATAATCATCAATCTGAACAAGCCCTAATTCTCCACCACCTGTGCCAGCGAGATATGGCCTGATCTCTGAAAGAACCTGCAATAAAATAGTAAAGCTTAAAGATAACAGAAATGGATATGCGTAGCATCTCCTCAACCCAAAAGACCAACATACTGACAGACAGCTTGACTGGTTTCTTCTGAAATTCTATTTCCATGTAGATCAAGGACTTTTAACAGCTTGACATGTCAACTCAGTAGAAGCATCCTTCTAACAAGTTCTAATGCAGCTGAACAGTCAAATAATCCTTATTTCTCAATCAATCACAATAATTTCTTAATTCCATCGGTTTTAATCAAGTATACTCATGAATATCAGCTGCAGCAACAATTTCAGTTCTGAATTAATTCTTGAAAAGTTAGGCAAGCAGCAGATAAGTGTAACACGTCCATCTAGTGGAACATACTTGACTGAATACTACCAAGAGTGATTATCAAAATTTGAGCTTTTTTTTCTCACTTACCTTCTCAACATTTTCCTCATTCAACTCAAGACCAGTTTCTGTATCAACAATCTGTTCTACTTCTAGAATTTCCGGGATTTTATCCCGAAGCCGAGTTTCAATTCCCATCTTCAGTGTCATTGCTGAGCTCGGACAAGAACCACAAGCCCCTTGAAGCTTTAGCACAACAACAAGACCATCAATCTCATGCAAGGCAACATTCCCACCATCAGCCATTAGGGATGGCCTTACTTCATCCAACACTTTTTCCACATTCTCCTCTGTCAGCGGCAGAACACAAATAGGGGAAACCACATTGCCTGCAAATATCAGCAGTAATAACATGACAAAATTTTTTTCTAAATCGTGCATATAAAAGTTGGTACAAAAGAATGGATTTGTTTTCCCCCCAAAGCTTGAACTGCATTAGCAAATTGCAATCAACCTGAATGCTTTTTAGGTCTTTGAGTCGAACCAAATCCAAGAAAATGTCCACTCTTAAATTGCCCTCTCAGAAATGAAGCTTGTTTTGATGCAAATGAACAGCTTTCCAAACTGCGATTCTTCGTAGACCCACAAAAGATAGATAAAAGCATCATCACATTTGCACTCCATACTCCAAGAATTCAATCAAAATATGAGCTATAAAAAATGCTGATTACGAAAGTAAATTTCATACCTTGAAAAGGGATACATGAGAAACAGAGGAATGCCGGGTCGAACAACTTATAGACGATGAGGTTGGTGTTGGCCGGAGCCGATGGTTGTGACCGGAGAAGACAGCCATCAGGAGCTTTCAGTTTTTCAATGCGCCCATGATAACAATCCACACAACAAGTATACTTCTAAAAATGGGGACTACTGAGACAGAACATTTGTATCTTGAAGAAAGAAAGAAACCGAGTCTTACATTAATTGATTCGAAACCGTTTTGATTGGAGAATGGACAAATAAAATATCAGATGAATTGTTTTCCGGAGTTGAAACTAATCGTAAACATTTGTGTGGATAGAATCAGCTTTACACAAGGGGTGAGGAAAAGCCACGTCAGAGTTTCAAGAGAAATAACAAAGACTAGGATTTTTTTTTTTTTCCCTAACATGAAACAGAAGAAAATTTTAATCAATGAAAATTACTGAAATGAATTGGAAAAACCACATAAAATTCTTATTTGGAACTTTTGAGGAATGGGGTCCAAATAGGATAAGCTTTTTTTTTTTTTACCTCCTAACGAGTTATTTTATGAAAAAACGAAAAGTATTTAGAAGTGATAACCAAGTCGTGTTTTGTATTATAATAAAATGATGGCAATTTTCAGTTTGGAATTTAAACATAATCACTCTTTACTAGTTCGATGGTAGGACTTTCGTTCTTGTTCAACCTGGAAATATTGACATATAAGGTTCTTCAAATGCATCCTTTAGTGTTGTTTGATGAGCCATTTCAGTAACGAGGACTCAAGTCTTAAATACTCCTTCTGTCCTAAAATTATTGTCCAGTTTGAGATTTCACTTTTAGTACAATTTGAATTAAAAATGAAAACTCAAACTGGACAATAATTATGGGACGAAGGGAGTAGTTAAATACAACCAAGTAGAACTAATAAAAGATGATGAAAATTTTACCCAATCAAAGCTTATGTTTTGACGTATTATTAGGCTATTAGCCTAGAATCTAGATGTTGGTCTCCAGTTCCCGTTCCAACCCTTCTGTTCCTGAGTTCCATAAGGCACTCCTATATCGTTAATAACTTGACTGTTATTTCATCAGCAGATTTCCGATCAAGTGTGAAGATGATGATTCCTCCAAGGTTGTTGAGGGTCGATGACTTAGGTCACCCGCCTTATGTTATCTAGGAGGTAAGCTTGTTCCAAGGCTCGCATCATTGTGATCAGTTCATTTTCGAACGGATCATTAGTAACTACATTCCTGGAGGGAGCTGCATTCTCTTTAGCCTTCTCCAAGATTGCAAACCGACAAACGGGGCACTGACCTTGGTTCTTCACCCATGGAACTATACATTCCTCATGAAACATATGATTGCAGGGTGTGACTGTGACCAGCTCTTTAGGCTCAAAATCCTCCAGGCAAATTGCGCACCTCTTGCCATCATCATCCTTGTCACTTTTGGTTTCCCTGGAAATGTGTAGCGGATTGTCTCTATAATAAAGACTTGGTCTTCTTGTTAACCATTTTGGTGTTGGATTATAAACCTCTTTCTTCAGCTTGCTCAGGACTTTTTTTTGCTCGTCTGGAGTCAATTTCGATTGTTCTTCGTTTCGGGCTTGCACATTCCATTGGCCATAATAACTTGGAGAACCATCAGCTGCAGGTTGTCTTGTTGATGGGATTCTTGTCGCAGAATTGCCTAGGTATTGATTTTGATTGTTGAGATATGGTTGCACTGGCAAACTGCAAATCCGGTTTGGGATTCAGTGGTTATGATGCCAAATTATCAGTTCCATAAACTCGGTACTTTTTTTCCTTTTTTTTTATTTTTTATTTTTTTAAACTCACTTCTGTTTTATATGTAACAACTATGTGATATGTAACTCCAGGTCTTCAGTTGAAAGGACAGATGATTTTAAGTTGATCGATATCTACCAATCTTCACAGGCTACCAATTCTAATAATGCATTTCCATACATCTTAGGACGACAATTTGAGCTTCGCGGAAAGTAACAACAAAGATGCATTAGAGGGGAAAAGGAAAGAACATTCAGGTACCTGCCTATGATTACAGGTCCACCAGGAAGTCTTTCCCTCAACAGCCACCATGGATGGATATCTTCTCTAGGATCCTGTCATTAGTAAATAAAGCAACGAAAAAGTTAAAAAACAGAGAATTGCTTATATAGCTTAATTTCCAGCTCTACTGTGGAAATTAAGGATCAGATATCAGCAACTGTTCTATAGAAGCGAGCCGAAATATGCCAAACTAACCAGAAGACCTCCTACAGGGGGATGAAGAGGAAATATGGAAGAGGGCATCCTATTAACGACATCCTGCCTGGGGGGATATGGACCATTATCTGGTCTACTTCTCCAGTTTCCTGGTGTTGTTATGTTCTGGTTGCCTCTGTTCATGGAGTCTTTCAGGAATTTGATGGTTCAACGTGAAAAATGACCAAACGGGATTAATTTGGTGGTTCTTCGGCCTCTACTGCTTTTCAGAACAGATGCAGTTAAACCTGTAATGACGTTATTTTGAGGGCGAAGTGATGAGAGATTCTTTGTCCACTGATGCTCTATGATTTTATGGTCTGGTTGGGACACAGTATATATAAAGCAAGGAATCCAATTCGTTGCTGCTGGATTTTCTTGTCTGAATGGAATCTTAGTTTGTAAAGCAAACCTAGGTTCAAGGTAGGTCTTCCAGCCCACCTTGAGCTGTTAAAAATGGAGTAAGGCCAAGCTTGCTCACGTTGTTGGCTAACTCCACTCCAGAACCTTTTACTACCGAAGCAAATCTCACATTTTCCAGGAAATTATCGGGAAATGGAGGACATTAATTAGAAACTTTTAGTGCATCTTCAAAGCACTAGATGATTAGAACTCAGATGCACAAAAATAGGGTTTGAAACATAGATATCCCTTTAACAGATCATCAAGAAGATAAGTAACCAATAAATTAAGGATTTTTTGGAGCAATGTGCTGCCAAATTTTCAGCTTCAGTATAGAAAAATCTTTCATCCCAGACAGCAACCATTGTGTCGGCCAAAACACTAAAACTTCTAGACTACAAAAGTGAACAAGGAATAAATTCTGATGACTGAACCAAGATGGCACTGGAGAAGTTAGTACTTCTAGACTAGGGATTTCTCCCACATGGCTAGCTAGTCAATTGTTTCCAGGAACCCAAAAATTTTGCTAGCAGCAATCACTTATTCATCGTTGAAGATAAGTAGAAATTCCAGAATATAGATCCTGTAGACATGAAAGCCACACGAGCTGGAAGAGGAACCAACCTGCGAATTTTGCCAAGTGGAAAGTATGAAAAGAAGTCATGCTATAGTATCTGATCATTCATTGTACAAAAAAGTTGAAAAAATTGCATTTCCTCTTTCACAAACAACTACAACATCAAAAGAATGTAATTCGGATAACAAATAATATAAAACGGATAATCTTGAACCCCCCTAATTTTAAATACTTGGAAACAAGAACTTCAATATCTCCTGTCAAATAATAGAGTAACGTAGATAACTATCAATTTGTAGTCAGGACAACTGATTGACTAACAAAATGAAGGCATAAATGATAATGGCATTGACATGGTATCATAAGACTATCGAAAAGGATTTGTCAGATCACACATGTGATGAACTCGCAAAAGAGATTATCACACAGAAATGCAAAAAAGAAAAAAAAAGTTGAAAAATCCAACAATTGAGAGGTCTGTTTGTTCTGATATATAAGGAATCTTCATCCGCGTATAACAGCGATTAACTAGAGAAAGCAAATCTTAGACTGCCAAGGTTGTCAACTATGCACCTTAAGTTACATTACAATGGTATATTTCCATTGTCTGCCAGTTTAATAATGAGGGCAGAAGATGATTAGGCCTTTAATGTGAAGGCACTAGTAACTTGATAACTAGTTCATGATTCCATTCCTTAAGAAACACTAATAAGCTGTAGCAGATTCAACAAATGACATGGTCTTCTGGACTATACACAACAGCGCACTTAACGAGAAGGGATGAAATAATAAACTTGTTCATGCTATACAAGAGGCCTAGAGTTCTTATCCATAAGCATCATCCTCTGGAGCTGAATTTATGAAGGTAGTTTTTAAGCTGTAGTAATTTTTTTGAGGAGTAACCGATTCAATTTCCGCACCAACAATGACCAATTACAAAACATGTTTGATAAACAAAGCTAGGAATCAGATCCGAGAAGAAGTTGGGAAGACATACCAAAAATTTAGAATGGACACTGGAATCCAGAACCTGAATCCTGCAAGGATTTAGCAACTATTAGTAAACATCCTTTGCAGGCATATAAGATAATAGTTGTCAAGTAGGAACAATCTTTACCGAATAGGAGAGTAGGAAGGGCATCTGTTTGGTACTTCTTCGGAAGCTCTGAGACTTTTCCTTGCCATATATTGTTCCATGCAAAAATAACAGCAATTACTGCAGGACCGAGTACAATTTGGTTCAAGACAACCTGGGAGGGAGAAAAGGTTTCAGAAGCCCTGGATGGGAGCTATAAACTATTGTTTACCAGTAGATATTCGAAACGTACCTTACTTAATAAGTTACCAAATGTTTGCTCTGGCATTCTGCGTTCCAAGAACTGGTACCATGCATATGAACCAGGGCCATATAGCAGAAAGGCATATGTAGTCAACCTAAGAGCACGTATCCAATCATGCCCAGAGAAAAGAACCTCCAAAACATCCTGATAGAGAAATTCATTGAAAATATAAAACTTATTTGAAGAGTAAAAAGTGACTATGTACGGGATTATTAAGCCCAAAGAACATCGACATTAAAAGCATTCCAGCATGTCGCTTCATAAATGAAGAATAAGCAAATAACTTCATCTGAAGATCATCTATTAAAGTCCTGCACTAGGATCCTCTTCTTGGTTTATAAGTAAGGTTGATGGCACCAAAAAATTTGAAATTGCATTGTTATCTAATCCACAATTTTTACCAAAAGCTGATTAACTCGTTCGCTTTGACTTCAGGGTTTACCTCCTAAAGCTGAGAAAACAGAAATCATAGCAATCTTATGAACCCAACAAAACTTTCCATGAACAGCATTCTCTTAGAAGCTGATTACGTGTCAGCTAATAGACCAACTGAAGATTGAAAGATAACTACAACCTAGTCATTTAAAATGATAACAAAAACTTTGCATTGGTTGTAAGCATTGTCCAACTGTAAGAGCTCACTGTCCAATTTTCCTCCAAATAAATCGAATGCTAAACCCAATAAACTGCTTTCTTCATGACAATCACACACCGTCAAAAGCATAAATAAACCACCAAAATCATTGCATTACCACCAAAATAGCCAATCATCCTGAACGACCTATATAACATTTGCCAAAAATGCCCAATTCATAATTAATAGAAGCCTTTGTTTCACACTTTTTGGACCACATTCGTGTGTACATTTCTTTTTTTTAGTTAAAATTGAACGAAAACTTACTAGATTTTAGACAATATAGGCCCACTAGAGAGCTCAGCCGTTAGTAAAGGAAATATTGCCGAGAAAAGAAATGAGGGAGGCAATTAAAGAACCTTTGTTTGCTGGTCATCGGAGACACTATCTTTGTTGTCGACCCACCGTTGCCTGAGCTGAGCTATGGTGTCGCCGGTTAAGGCTAGAGCGGCGGCGGTTACTGCTTGCTTCACCGGGAACCTGTAACCAATTCCGCCGACTACACCCCCGGAATTTGCGGACTTTGATCCTCCGCCACTCCTTCTTCGCCGCCGACGGCTGTCGAATTCATGAAAACTATGTGGGCCCATCCCAAACGGACCCCATTTCCCGCCACCAGCTAGTGACCCCATTTTCACATACACAGAATCACGCTGTGATGACTCTTAAATGAATCCACTGTTCAAGGCTTAAAGCACTTGTTCTTTCTTCTTCCTTTTGTTTTGTCCTTTTATGCAATTTGCAGGAGTTTAGGGGAGAGTTTTGTAATTTTAATTTTTTTTATATGCTTGTAATTTTTTCCTCCACAGCATCCTTTTTGGCTTTGTTTTCCACATGAATTTCTAGAGGAAAAGAAAAAAAAAAAAAAAATTTTTATTCACTTCATGTTTTTCATTTTAGTTAAGAAAAAAAAAAAAGAAAAGAAAAACGTTTAGGAAATCAGACTCAAAACTTGAGAAGAGATATGTGTATACTACCTCCACTTTTTTTAATCTATCGTTTTAGAGTGAACTCAAAATCTTTTTTTATCTGATGCACTTCATTTCCAATGTATCATTAAATATAATTTGTTTCATTTCTCTCTATACTTTTTATAACATATAATAATGATAACTACATTTTTTTACACTCCAATTTCAATTTTTTTTTTTAAGAGTTTCAATATCTTTAAGTAAAAGTAAGAAAGACAATACACTAATAAAAATTAAAATCTCAATCATTATTTTTTTAATAATTGTGCAAACCAGAAAGTAGCATATAAAAGTAAATGGATAGTAGTATATATTATGATTCATCCGCTCAAAACGGTTACATAAACGATAACAAAACAATCTTACATATGGAATTCTCTCCTCCTTCCAACTTCCAAGCTCCAACAGCTCCTCTTGGGAAAGAAAAAAAGAAAAAAAAGCAATAAAAAATAAAGAAAACTGCCTTGGAATTCTTTGGAGGAGTTGAGCGTTTATTTTCAGCTCAGTGAAGAGAAAATCTTGGTTCTAAGCCCCTCACTACTAGTTTACGACTTTTTTTTTTTGGCTAAAATTGACACTGTGTTTGAACTTTTCCAGGCTAATTGAATCACACAACTGAGTTACGGAGGATTTTATCATTCATGGGAACAACTTGATTAACTGGCTTGTTCACCAGCCTCCTTGATCTTGTCGACGGATTTCACTTTGTTCATTGTTGAAGACAAATAGAAATTCCAGAATATGCCTCCCGTGCACATATACGCCACGCGAAATTCAAGAGGAATTAACCTGATTAGAACAGCAACAAAAGAGAAGGTCAGAGGGATGTTGTCATCCAGTTCAACGGACAAATGGTTAAGGTTGTCCGAAAAAAGAGTCGACGCTGGTGAATTTACATACCAAAAATTCACTGCGGATACCGGGATCCAGAACTTATATCCTGCAGATTCAGAACATTATTGAAACAACTTCAAGTACAGATTCATAATATAATTGGGTTATGGACAAGACGAATTCAGGCTATTAGCTAGATTCTAACCGAAAATTAGAGCTGGAATGGCATCATTCTTTAAAATTTCTGGAAGCTGTGAACCTCTGCCCAACCAAAGATTGTTCCATGTAAAAGCTGAAGCAGTGGTAGTTGGACCAAGCAGAAGCTGGTTCATTATCACCTGCCGGAAAGGAATCAATTGAAACATGATGACTCCCCTGTTTTTGTATAAAACCCGATATTTCTTTTGCCCTGATCAAGATTCTGAAAGTGAAGACTTACCTTGATCAATAACGTTTTAGGTGATTTAATCGGCATAAGTCGATCCAGGAACTGATACCAAGCATATGAACCAGGTCCATGGAGCAGAAAAGAAAATGAACTCAACCTCAGGGCTCGAACCCAATCGTGCTCCGATAGCAGAGTCGCCGCAACATCCTGAATTAATGAAATTATTCGGTTTTAGAAGGGAAAATAAAATCAGTACTTTGAAGGGAGAAATGGAGAAGTGAAAAAACAGAGCAAAACAGAGCAATATGATCGGACTGACCAGGGGATTATCAGGGAGGTTGTCTTTATGCTTGACCCAGTTTTGCCTGACCTGAGCGATGGTGTCTCCGGTGAAGCAGAGGGAGGCAGCGGTGGCTGCTTGCTTTACCGGGAACCTGTAACCGGACCCGGAGGCTGCGATCTCGCCGGAGCTGGAAGCTTTTGATTCGCCGCTGTTTCTTCTTCTCCGTCGCCTACGGCGGTTGAGATCGTCGAAATTATTGGAACCCATTCCAAAGGGTCCCCAATTTCCTCCACCTGCTAATGATCCCATTTCTGATTGCTTTTCTTACACAGCAGCAGAGCAGAATTAGCAGATAGATACACGCTACTACTACTCTGATTTGAATTGATTTTGAGTATATTTATAGAACTTATTATATTCTTTTCCTTTTTTTTTGAAGTATATTTTGGCGGCTTGTCTTTTTCTTGTACCTCAGCTTATTTTATTTCCCCGCCCCCGCAACCATCAGTTTATGTAAGTTGCATAGCCCAGAAGTCAATGCATACAATAAAAAAAAAAAAACCAACTGCAGATATTGTTAATAACTGCAATATTTGAATTTGACGAATTTATAAAAATTCAAATGCAAAAAGAGGCTCTTATGTGAAAATGCTAAAAAATTCGCATGTATTTAATTAGATTATGAAACTAGTTAACATTATCTTCTTTTTTTTTTTAAATAAAAACATACAATACATTTTGAAGTATAAGGGTGAAATAAACAGATAAAACAAACCAGGTCCAATTTTAATTTGATTGCGGCGAAATAAAGTCCTTGACGAGGGCTTAACCAAGTCGTTGGAGGCATTTTTGTTTTTCCAATAATATTTGTTTTTTTACTTTCCTATATTTGGAAGAAATAGACATCTTTTGGGGTTAAAATAATGAAGGTTGGTTGAAATGTCAATTGCCTCTCTATTCCAAATTTCCAACATGAGAGGCTGGTATAACACTGAACACTAGTCAAGCTAGTCAAAGCCCACTCTGTTGGACTATCTATCCACTGCCCCATGCAAAATTCAAACCACATATACTTATTTTTCCTTTCTTTCTTTCTTTTACCACTTTTGAAGTTCAGCATGTTGGGTTGAGTTGCCAAAGTGGATCTTTTTTTTTTTTTTTTAATGTATTTTTGGCCTGTTGGGCATTAACATAAATAATACTACTAATAAGTTATTCAATGGGAAAACCTACTTTCAAGAATCTCATGAATCATGACGGTTTTAAATCGGGAGTCTTTGCATAGACAGCGGATTGTTAAAATGTCCAATCCCGATGAAAACTACAATCGATGATTGCCCAAAAAAGAAGAATAATGATCCACAATAACTATATAAGCAAAAAAAAAAAAAAAAAAAATGATGCAAAGCATGCAATTAAATAAAAGTATGTAGATGTATCCACAATAATAAATATTATGAATATATCCATAGGGTTTGGAGGTATAAATAGCAGCAATTAACACTTTAAAGTTAACGAAATGTGTACTCATTCTGGATTTAAATGTTTTGAATCCATACAACAAATTGAATTAATTAATACGACCCCTCTACACACACACACACACACAAACAGTGTATATAGATTAGTTGAATTTGAATTGATTCAGTTGAAGGACAGCTTACAGTAACTAGTATTCTCATGATGTTTTAAGAAAAAGGGGGGACAGAAGTTTTGAGTGTTGATCAATGTAGTAGTAATTGAATTCTATACAAGCCCAGCCCGCCCACTAACTGGAAGAATGATTGGGCTTCAATAAATATAGATTTTTACGGGTTGGGCTGCAAGAAATATACTAGTAATTTTATTTTTATTTATTTATTTTTTTAAAATGGGATCTACTTGGATCGCGGTTGCCAGTAGGCGTCTTCTTCCTTTCTCCAAGACTCCACCTATGTAATAGTTTAGGTGTTGTAATAGTGTATAAAAAAAAAAAAAAACTTTGATTGGTTAACGGTTTGGAATGGTAATCAAACCAAAACCGGCAACACTGAAACCAATTAACTGGCCTAATTACACTAAACTCAAATTTGAATAATTAATAAATCATGAATTTACAAATTCAGTTTTTATCAGAATGAAGGAAAAAGAAAGTAAAGAAGATGAAATCAAGAAATGTGAAGAGAGAATGTTCTGGAAGCTTGATACTACCGTAATCCAATTTTTCAATTTACAACTCATCATCTCTCTATATATATACAGACCATGTTCTAGAATGTGCCGGCTAAACAACTTAACTAAACCGACTCAATTTGCAGAATTAATCCTAGCCACTCAATCTTGTAACCGACTTAAGATCGAACGGTTGCTGATTCTTCAGTTCAAACTCTTCTTCCCGCCAAGGTTTGTTGCTCATTTCCTTCACCCCCTCCTCAAGATGAGCATTCCATAAGCTCATCTTGGACAACAGGTACTGAAAAATGGAGGAAGAAAGGGCCTTGGTGAACAAATCTGCAAGCTGCAACTTGGTAGAAACATAGGAAGGAAGAATAAAACCCTTCTTGAATTTATCTCGCACCACATGGCAATCGATTTCAATATGTTTAGTTCTTTCATGAAACACCGGGTTGGCAGTAATATCCAACGCCGCCTGGCTGTCACACCAAAAAGGAATCAGAATTGACAAAGGAAGATGAAAATCAGTTAATATGTAAGAGATCCACTGTAGTTCACGAACGGTTACTGCCATGGATCGGTATTCAGCTTCGGCAGAAGAACATGATATAGTGCTTTGCTTCTTTGTCTTCTAGGAAACAAGACCGCGTCCCAGAAAAATGCAATATCCAGTAAGGGAATGCTGGGATGTTCTACAAGTTCCCCAGTCTGCATCACTGTATGCTGTTAAAGACAAAGGAGAAGAAGAAGAATAGAAAAGGCCACGCCTGATGGTGCCTGAGAGATATTTGAGAACATGAATTGCAGCTTCCCAATGTGACACATGAGGTCGATGTACAAACTGACTCAACTGCTGTACAGCATATGTAAGATCAGATCTTGTGTAATTGAGGTAAAGAAGGCGACCAACCAATCGCCTAAATTGTGATGCATCCTCATACAATGGTGTTTCATCCTTATCTTCTGATGGAAATTGTAAGGAAGGAGGGAATGAAGTAACGGTTGGAACACAATCCAACAAATGAGCATCATGAAGAAAATCAGTGATATACTTCTTCTGACTGATGTAGATGCCCACATTTGATCTTGCTATTTCCATTCCCAAGAACTATTTTGCCAAACCCAAGTCTTTGATAGTAAAAGCCTGATCTAGAAATTGTTTCACCTTCTCTATTTCTGCTTCATGTGTTCCAGTCAAAACCACATCATCAACATAAACCAGTAAAAACAACTGACAGTCATGATGATCAAAGACAAACAAACATGGATCATGATAGGATTGGCTAAAACTATAAACAGTCAACTTCTCTGTGAATTCAAGATTCCATTGTCTGGAAGCTTGTTTAAGTCCATACAAGGACTTCTGCAACCTGCAAACTTGACCCTTAGCAGCTTTATCATAACCCAAAGGAGGATGCATGTATACCACTTCATCTAAATGTTCATGTAGAAAAGCATTATTAACATCTAATTGATGAATAAGCCAACCTTTTGAAGCTGCTATAGCAAATAGAAGCCTCACAGTGACTACTTTAGCAACAGGAGAAAATACTTCACAGAAATCTTCACCTTCAACTTGTGTGTAGCCCTTTGCAACTAGTCTGGCCTTATATCTATTAACTGTCCCATCAACATTTCTCTTTATCTTATATATCCATTTAGAGCCAATAGCTTTCTTGCCTGCAGGTAAACGTGTTAACCGCCAAGTATCATTGTCTTCTAAAGCCTGTAATTCTTTATTCATGGCCTCTACCCACTTTAAGTTTGTCAGGCTTGATTATAAATAGTAGGTTCATGTGTATCAGAAAAATTTGCAACAAAATCCATATATTGAACAGAGAATTGACACTTAGAATCATCCAAGGCTAGAAGGTTTGATGTATCAATACAGGAATGTGAGGTATAAAAGTCATTAAGATAAGAGGGTGGCTTTCTAATCCGAGTAATGGTTCTGATTGGTGGTTGAGGTTCCATGACTAGGTTATGTGAATCTGAAGCAGTAGATGTCTGTGATGAAGATGAAGAAATTGTCTCAGAATGAGAAGAGGATGACTGTGATGTAGGTTCAGGGTCTGTAAATAAGGATTCTGATGAAGATCAAAAGGTAATGTATCATCTGTGTGAATGACATATGAAGGGGATACAGTATTATCATCTTCCTTTGTAAGGGATAGAAACACTGTTTCATGAAACAAAACATCTCTAGAAATCAATATCTTATTGAGAAGAGGACAATAAACTTTGTACCCCTTTTGATTAGAAGGATACCCCACAAAGATCCCTCTATATGACCTAGCATCAAACTTGTCCCTTCCAGATGCTTTGTTTAAAACAAAAGCTTGACAACTAAAACTCCTCAAGAAAGTAAGAGCTGGTGGTTTTTGATGAAGTAGCTCATATGGTGTCTTCCATTTCAGGATTGATGAGGGCAAACGGTTGATCAGAAATGTGGCTGTGAGTAAGGATTCCCCTCAGAATTTCTTTGGTAACTTGGATTGTATGAGAAGAGATCGGGCAATTTGCAAAAGATGCTGATGTTTTCTCTCCACAACACCATTTTGTTATGGAGTATATGGACATGATTTTTGATGTATGATCCCAAGGCTGGAAGAAAGGTTGGAACAGGTAATATTGACAAATTTTGTGCCATTATCACTTCTGATTTTCTTAACTACCCCATTGTACTGAGTTTTGATCATTCTAAAAAATTGATCTAATAAGGAGGGAACCTGAGATTCATGCTGGAATAAAATGGTCCAGGTAGATCGATTATGATCATCTACAATGGTCAACAAAATTGGCAATGTGAAAGAATGAACATGAAAAGGACCCCACACATCAATGTGCAAAAGCTCAAAGCAATTCTGTGATTGTATATGACTAATAGGAAAATGTTTACAATGTTGCTTTGAAAGAGGGCATATGTCACAGTGTTCTAAGCATGAATCCTTTAAGGATTTCTCTGAACAGACAAAATCATTAAATCTCATGATTTCCTGTGAAACTGGCATAGAAGGATATCCTAGTCTTGAATGTAGAAGAAAAGGAGTAACTGCAACACATACTTCATTTCTTGTTTTATTACAATTGGAAAAATGAGAAAGAGGTCTGTTTCCTAGCATATATCCTGCAAAGATCTCTTGTGTCTTTAATATGGCTTCTGAGGTGAAAGATGTATGATCCAACAAATAGAGTTCCCTGATGACTCTCCCCGCTGCAAGGACCTTTCCTGATTTAAGGTCCTGCAACAGACAGAAATTAGCATAGAAACGGAAGAATATGTTTGAAACTT